TGGCGCTGCACTCTGATGTTGTAGGAGAAAACATTTATAAAAAAGTCTATTTAATTAAGTAGAACGTCTTGTCTATATTTATTTAAAGTTGCGCATTTTGATGTGACGTCACATTTCTTACCCCTCCCGTCACACATCGTCACAAATGTCTGACCCCGACCCCCCCCCCCCCGTGCGTGACGTCATTTATGGACGGCCCCTTAACAGACTGTTGGGGTAAGTGCCGTTGGCGAGCACCGATGAAGACTGGCACTGTGGCACACGAGGGGGTGGGTGGCCAACACCACGCCCGGTCACCTTTGTCTCCCCAGTGACGATGTTTACACACCGCACCAGGTACTCATTTGAGGCTGAGTCGACCTAGGTAGACACACTCACACACATACACCTGTCTGTATGCACAGGTAGAGAGACCGGCGGAGACTCGGCGTTGTCTCACCTGTCCGTGTCGTCCACGTGTACCTCCACGCTGCTGTAGACGCTCCGCGCCCCCTGCGCCCACTCCCGCACCACGCGGCTCGTGTCGTCCTCGTTGTGGTCTGTGGACAGCCTGGAGAGGGGACACGGGGACACGGGGGACAAGGGGACAAGGGGGACACGGAGACACAGGGGACACGGGGACAAGGGGACACGGGGACAAGGGGGACGAGGGGACACAGGGACACGGGGGACGAGGGGACACGGGGGACGAGGGGGACACGGAGACACGGGGGACGAGGGGACAAGGGGGACACGGAGACACGAGGGACACGGGGACATGTAGATATGGCACCACATGGGATATACAGGGTGTGTGTATGTGACCCTCGGGGGCACGGAAACCTGATCATTAAATTTCGATTTAAAGCTTTCGTGACTGCATCGATTCATCTTCTTGGTTCTTTCGGTAAAGTCACGTAGAAGGGAAATAACAAAAGAATAAAAATAAAACATAATAAAATAATTCTGAGAAAACATAATAAAATAATTCTGAGAATTATTAAATGTTTTATTTTTATTATTTTATTATTTCCCTTCTACGTGACTTTACCGAAAGAACCAAGTAGATAAACCTGATCATTATCGTCATCAGCATCACGATCAAAATAATCAAAATGCTCACCGATACCATCAAATTCATCATCACCAACAACATCAAAAGTTCACAATCATCATCTCCAACCATTATCGACATCGCTATCACCATGATAATCACCATATTAAACTTAATTATCACGAACAATCTCGGAATAAGCATGATAATATAATTATTCATAATCATCGTTATTCATGTATTTAGTGTTCTAAGTTGCGATGCCATGGACAAGACCACGTGACCACGCGTGCAACGTGGCGAGCCCAACAAACACACACTCATGCACACAACCAAACACTAACGATAAAGACAAAGATCCCACGTATAGCCTTTAATAGACTGTTAGGGCAAGGGCTGTTAGCGAGTGGCACCTATGAAGGTTGGCAAGGCACACGTGGGGGTGGTGTGGAAAACACCAGGCCCGGCCGCCTTTGTCTCCCCAGTAAAGTTACGTATAAAGAGAAAATAATAAATTAAATACAGGTATTTTATTTATTATTTTCTAGTACTAATATTTAATTTATTATTTTCTCTTTATACGTGACTTTACCGAAAGAACCAAAGAGTAATTCCTGCAGTCACGAAAGCTCCAAATTAAGTTTGTCTCCCCAGTTCGAATGCTTACACACCGCACCAGTTACTCGTTTAAGAATTCCCACTTTGCAAAAGGTGCCCCATACAGACTTCAACATACTGTTGGGGCTGTCAGAGGAAAGTGCTTAAGGCCTGCATGGTGTACGAGGGGGTTTATGGCCAAACCCACGGCCGTACTGGCCCAGCTACTCATTTAGGGCCGAGTATACCTAGGGGGAGGCCCAAGCCCGGTTCAAATATTCAGCCGTGAACGTGAATCGAACTCGGATCGCCGGGTTCCGAGCGCAGCGCGCTCACCAATTGTGCCAAAGACTCTACATGCAAACATTCATACAGACAGACACTCACGTACAACGCGCACAGCTGCAGGCACAGACACCCACGCGTGAAATCCACGACCACATTCCGACATGGGAATCCGTGCTGCGGCTCATACCGCCACACACAGACACACCAAGACCCCCCCCCCCCCCGCTTACAGCCTGTAGGGAAAAGTGCTGCTAGCGAGAAGCGCTCATGAAGACCGGCACGACCAGCACCACGCCCGGCCGCCTTTGTCTCCCTCGTGACGATGTTTACACACCGCACCGGGTTACTAGTTTAAGGCCGAGTCGACCTAGGCGAGGCCCAGGACTGCTAGCAGATATTCCGGAATGGAACTCGGGTCGGCGGGTTCGTAGCGCAGCGTGCTAACCGCTGCGCCACCGCTCCCCACGCGACACGCATTGACACGCAATGACGACAGTGCGTCCCACCGTGCGTATCTGCCCGGCACACCACGTCCAGTATCCCCCCTGGCTACCGACTATGCGTGCCCTAGGCAAATGAGTACCCGGTGCGGTGCGTAAACATCACCACTGGGAAGACAAAGGCGGCCGGGCGTGGTGTTGGCAACCCACCCCGGCGTGTGCTGCTACTCGCTAACAGCACTGAGCCCAACAGTCCGTTACAGGCTACACGGGTGGATCTTTGTCTTTGCACAAGCGTGAACACTTACATGCGTGTACGACTGTGTGTACGACTGTGTGTGTGTGTACGACTGTGTGTGTACGACTGTGTGTGTGTACGCGTGTGTGTGTACGCGTGTGTGTGTGTGTACGACTGTGTGTGTGTACGGGTATGTGTGTGTGTACACGTGTGTGTGCGTGTACGCGTGTGTGTGTACACGTGTGTGTGTACGACTGTGTGTGTGTACACACGTGTGTGTGTGTACGACTGTGTGTGTGTGTACGCGTGTGTGTGTGTACGCGTGTGTGTGTACACGTGTGTGTTTACGACTGTGTGTGTGTACACGCGTGTGTGTGTGTACACGCGTGTGTGTGTACACGCGTGTGTGTGTGTACGACTGTGTGTACACACGTGTGTGTGTACACACGTGTGTGTGTGTACACGTGTGTGTGTGTACACGTGTGTGTGTGTACACGCTGTGTACCAGAAGGCGAGTCTCCGCGGGGGGTACGTCTGCCTCTCCAGCGCGCCCAGGCAGTAGGGCAAGCTGTGCGCCGCGTTCCTCGCGATCACAGCCACCAGCACCAAGGGCTCTCCCTCCGCCCCTTGACCCCCCTGATCCCCTTGAGCCCCCTGATCCCCTTGACCCCTCTGATCCCCTTGAGCCCCCTGCCACTGGGTCCGCGAGCCCGATGGGAGCAGCAGGAGGGGGATCAGCAGCTGGAGGAGGATTGCGTGGAGTGAGGGAGGCATGGCCACGCAGTTGCGGCTCGGGGAGAGGGGGTCCCTGCTCCCTCCCGCTCCCTCTCCCAGCTCTCCCGACTCTCTCTTCGCTCTCCCCTTCCCTCCCAGCTCCCCCCCTCCACCTCCACCCGGTCCCGGCTCTCTACCGCCTCTCCCCTTCCTCCCCTTCCTCCCAGCCGAGGCTCCCGACTCTCCCCTCTCTCCCCTCTCTCCCAACCGAGCTCCCAGATCTCTCGCCGTCTCCCCCGACCCCCTTCCTCTGCCCAGCTCCCCGCCACTCAGCCTCTTTGTGCAGCTCTCTGCGTGCGTCCTCCACTCGTCGTGTTCACTCCCTCCCCTCTCCCCTACACCCCTTTCTCCCCAACACAACCTCCCTCCTCCCTCCCATCTCTCACAGACTTTCCGCTCCCTCCTCACGGCTGGACTCTCTCCAGGTTGCGCTCCCCCACCTCTACCCTCCTGCCCCCCTCTCCCTCCTGCCCCCCTCTCTCCAACCCCCCTCTCCCTCCTGCCCCCCTCTCTACAACCCCCCTCTCCCTCCTGCCCCCCTCTCTCCAACCCCCCTCTCCCTCCTGCCCCCCCTCTCTCCAACCCCCCTCTCCCTCCTGCCCCCCTCTCTCCAACCCCTTCTCCCTCCTGCCCCCCTCTCTCCAACCCCCTTCTCCCTCCTGCCCCCCTCTCTCCAACCCCCCTCTCCCTCCTGCCCCCCTCTCTCCAACCCCCTCTCCCTCCTGCCCCCCTCTCACCAACCACCCTCTCCCTCCTGCCCCCCTCTCTCCAACCCCCCTCTCCCTCCTGCCCCCCTCTCCCCAACCCCCTCTCCCTCCTGCCCCCCTCTCCCCAACCCCCCTCTCCCTCCTGCCCGCCTCTCTCCAACCCCCCTCTCCCTCCTGCCCCCCTCTCTCCAACCCCCCTCTCCCTCCTGCCCCCCTCTCTCCAACCCCTTCTCCCTCCTGCCCCCCTCTCTCCAACCCCCCTCTCCCAGACTCCCCAACCCCCTCTCTCGTCTCGCTCTCTCCCAGACTCTCCAATCCCCCCCCACCGTGCCGTCTCTCTCCTTGGCAAACCACGTCCCCCCAACTCCCCAGTCTCTCCCTTGCCAATAACCACCAACACCAACCCCCAGCCCGAACATAACCACAACTCTAAAACAATAAAACACTCGCCTAAGGGGCCGTCCATAAATGACGTCACGCGATTTTGGACGATTTTTGACCGCCCCTCTCCATCGTCACACAGCGTCACAAAAAGTCAGACCCCCCCTCAAATATGACGTCACAAATCTCTACCTCCCCCCCCCCAATAAAAAAATGCTCTAAATCGCTTTAAACTATTGTCATTGTAGTGCGTATTTAATGTGCCGCTGCACTCTGATGTTGTAGGAGAAAACATTAAAAAGTATATTTAATTCAGTGGAACGTGTTGTCTATATTTATTTAAAGTTGCGCATTTTGATGTGACGTCACATTTCTCACCACGCCCCTCGTCACAAATGTCTGACCCCCCCCCCAGGTGCGTGACGTCATTTATGGACGGCCCCTAAACGTTCCCATTGATCCTACGTATACTTTACACCCAAGTACGACAGCCACGCTCACTCACGAAGATGCGGTGACACTGCCAAAAAAGCAACGCTCGCTCATGGACATAAAAATTATATATTTAATGCAATCCTCACCACTCGTACACATTAAGAAACTTGGACCCTCGTATGACAGCCACTCCCGAATCATCAATATTTAAATTACCCCACCCAAAGCCACTTCCAAACCTGAGTCGAGTATTACAAAGTGTACCCATTTTACAGCCACTCCCCGCTCATGAATATTTAAATTACCAAAAAATAAAGCCCCACCCACTCGCATTCTTGCAAAGTGCGCGCGGTGAGCACACCCAGTCATGAATCATATTTAAATTGCCCCACTCCCAAAGTCACTTCCAAACCTCTGCACAGTATTATTACAAAGTCGACCTATTTGCCAGCCACTCCAGGATATTTAAATTTCCCTCTGACCTTTATAGTGACACCCGGTCAGTGATGTCGCAGTTTTGTGTTTGCATCATGGTGCGTGAGTGAGTCACCCTGTGTGCATTATAGCCTCCAACGGTGACGATTATCTGAACTGGTCCTGGGCCTTCCCTAGGTCGACTCGGCCTTAAATGAGTACCTGGTGCGGTGTGTAAACATCGCCACTGGGAAGACATGCAGTCGGGCGTGGTGCTGGCCACCCACCCCCTCGTGTGCCGTCACGGCCTTCACAACTTCTCGCTAACAGCACTTGCCCCAACAGTCTGTTAAGGCTATAATACAGGGGGGGGGGGGGGATCTTGTCTTTGTTGCGTGTGTGTGTATCGCAGTGTGGTGCACTGCTTATCACGGTGCGCTGTGTGGTGTGTTATGTGGTGTGCTGTGTGGGGTGCTGTGTGGTGTGCGGTGTGCGGTGTGGTGTGCGGTGTGGGTGCTGTGTGGTGTGCAGTGTGTGGTGTGCGGTGCGGTGTGCTGTGTGGGTGCTGTGTGGTGCGCTATGTGGGTGCTATGTGGTGTGCGTTGTGGTGCGCTATGTGGGTGCTGTGTGGTGTGGTGTGCAGTGTGGGGTGCTACGTCATTGCGTGGGGTGCACGAGGAAGTCCCATCCCTCGCTCCAGCGCAGCGAGGTGAGCTGCTGGGCAGAGAGCGCCGGGGTGCCCATCGAGAGAGGGGCGAGCTGCACGTGGCTCGCGTAGACGGTGGCCAGCCACGCCACGCAGCCAGCCAGCAGCGCGTACCGGCCAGCCAGGGACCTGCAGCACAGAGATGCAAGACAAAGATCTCCCGTGCGTGCGGGCGTACGTGTGCATACGTGTGCGTATGTGTGTGTAAGCGCTACGACCTGACGAGGTGAGCGTGTGTGCGCGTGCGTGCATGTGTAATGTGAGGATATATCCGGCTCACTGACATATCACAACTCGTCACGATGATTGGCTCTGCCGGTCCTGATCCATAGCCAATGGGGGGAAGCCTAGAGGCATGGCCCTGACGTATTGGAAAGGTGACAGCTGTAAGTAGAGGATTGGTTCTGCTGGCTTTGGCCACAGCCAATGGGGAGATGAGTCAGGGGCGTGGTCCCGGGAGCCTACGATGGAGTCTGGAAGATTCCATAGAGGCTAACCAGGATTGGTGGTAAAATACCACGTGACCCGGGTATTAAATAGGGGTGGAGACGAACAACACGTGGTCAGAACTGGAATGAATGGAGGAGGCCACGCGAGAACGGGGCTCCAAGTTGCCACGTGGTTTGCGCGTCTCTCTCTCTCCATCCCTCTCACGCTGCCTGTCAGCAGCGTGAAGGAGAGCTGTAATGAAAAGTGAATAAAAGACCGGATTCCAGAAGTCGCCTCAACAACCTTTATTACACATGCGTAAGTCCTAGGACCTGACGAGGTGGGCGTGTGTGCGTGCGTGTGTAAGTGCTCAGACCTGACGACGTGTGTGTGAACGTGCTCCAGCAGTGCGGGGATGAGCAGCGTGTGGAAGGTGGCCGCGGGGAGGTAGTGGTAGAGGAAGAGGCCTCGCTCGGTGAGCAGGTACGGCACAAAGTGCATCGCCCAGCCGCCCAGGCCCAGCCAGCCGGCCAGCAGGAACCGCTCCCAGCACTCTGATAGCACCGACGCAGAGACACACAGAGACAAACACAGAGACAAACACAGAGACAAACACAGAGACAAACACAGAGACAACCACAGAGACAAACACAAAGACAACCACAGAGACAAACACAGAGACAAACACAAAAACAAACACAGAGACAAACACAGAGACAAACACAAACACACGGAGATGCAGAGGCAAGAGACACAGCCAGTGGCCCAGGCCCAGCCAGAACAAACCTCTCCCAGCACTGATAACACAGAGGCAGAGACACAGAATGGACAGAGGTGGCACGGGGGGGGGGATTTAAGGAATCGAACCAGCGACCTCTGGATCGCGAGTGCAGTACGATAACCATCACACCGCAGCTGCACCTGATGCACAGAAACAAAGATCCCCCGTATAGCCTTAACAGACTGGAGGCGCAAGTGCTGTGAGCAAGCACCTATGAACGCTGGCACCGGGTACTCGTTTGAAGCCGAGTCGACCACAGGGAGGCCCAGGATCGGTTCAGATAATCGTCACCGGTGTTGGTGGCCGTGAGCGGCAATCGAACTCGGGTCACCGGGTTCGTAGCGCAGCGTAGCGCTAACCGCCGCACCACCGCTCCCCAGACGTACACACACGGATCAATGTATCGCTGAATATTGATTTTCTCTGGGTTGCTTGTAAACCGCGTGGAGTGGGCTCGAATCGCGGCGCGCTAACCACTGCGCCGCCTCTCCCCGCAACGCGACACACGGAGCGTGTGATCGGGCCCCTATGGGCTGGCCCCGGCGCTGACCGGCAGGTAGGTCGGAGATGGCGCGCTGACGGCGCAGGAGGTAGCGGACGAGGCACGCGCAGTAGAGGAGGAGGCACACGCAGCCCGACACCCAGAGCAGCGGGTTGGGCAGCAGGTGGATCTGAGCCTGGGAAATAGCAAACACCATCGCCATCATTGACAACTTCAATATCATCATCATCATTATTATCCATGACATCATCATGGACATCGTCAACATCATCGAGTTATCATCATGGACATTAACGACACTTATCAACGTCATCTGCGAGTGTGTATGTGTGTATGTGTGTCTATACACGGCAGCGGTAGTGTCATGGTTAACGTGCTGCACTACGAACCCAGCGACCCGAGTTTGAATCCCGCTCATGGCCAACACCAGTAACGATTACCTGAACTGGACCTGGGCCTCCCCTAGGTTGATTCAGCCTCAAATGGGTACCTGGTGCAGTGTGCAAACATCGCCACTTGAGAGACAAAAGCAACTGGGTGTGGTGCTGGCCACCGACCCCTTCGTGTGCCATTCCGGGCTTCATAGCTGCTCGCAAACATAACTTGCCCTAACAGTCTATATGGGGGGCCTTTGTGTGTATATATCTTCGTGTAAGTATATAGTCCCATTGGTGAGCTCCTCCGGCAGGCAAGGCTGTGTCGGCTGGGTCATGTAGCCCGCATGCCCAGCTACCGCATGCCCAAGCAGTGGGCGAAACGGGCGTGGCACAGGCTGGAGAAAAGATGGGCTTATGTGGTAGAGAAGGATATGGAGCCAATTGAACTTGCTGAAGACTGGTACCGGCGGTGTCAAGATCGGCCTCTGTGAAGGAGGCTCATGAAGGATGCTACTGAGCAGTTGGGCAGAGAAGCAACGCTCACAACAACAAGAGGATACAATTCAGCAAGTTGGCACAGTAGGGGGTACATGTGGTGCATCTGACAGTCATCTTAGTCCATCAACCCATGGCACCTCGGTCTGTCCCGTGACCTCCTGCCAGCAGAGAGCCCCCTCACACTTCACGTGACGGCCTCAAAGTGCACATAGCCTGGCACGAGCGCTATGGTGACGTCACCGTCCTTTGAGCAGCGGCTGTGTGCGCGTGGTGTGTGTAATTGCGAACGCACGTTGGTGTGAGGGTCCATCCAGTAGGCGATGCTGGAGCTCATGCGGAGCCACTGCAGAGGCGTAGAGATGTACCTGTGCTCCTGCTCCTCCACGGGGAATGTCAGCATCTTCCACTGACGCACAAAGACAAAGATCCCCCGTGTACCCTTCACAGACTGTTGGGGCAAGTGCTGTTAGTGAGCAAAAGTGAAGGCCAACACGGCACACGAAGGTGTGGGTTTCCAGCACCACACCCGCCCCATGTTTTTTACACATTGCAAAAGGTACTCATTTGAGGCTGAGTGGACCTAGGGGACACACACATATATACATAAACAGACATACACTCACCCATCCAGACCGTAATGTACTCACTCTCACCTTTCCGTTTTCTCACTTGTTTACTCATCCAGCCACTCACCCTCTAACTCATCCACTCACTCAATGACCACGTGCAATTAAGGCCCATTGACTGAAACGTTGAATTTTATTCACTCACCTCACTCACCCACTCACCCAACCAACCAACCACTCGCTCGCCCGCCCACCCCAGAAGATGCTCACTCACCCATCCACTCATTTGCTCGCTCGCCCGCTCACCCACCTCCTTGCTCAATAACCCATCCACTCCATAACTGGCTCACTCCCCCGCTCACCCTGCCGCTCACCCTGCCGCTCACCCTGCCGCTCACCCCGCCGCTCACCGGCCCACTCACCCCGCCGCTCACTGGCCCACTCACCCCGCCACTCACCTGCAACTCGTAGAACTTGGCGAGGAATCCCAGGTCATGGGGGATGTGCTTGGGGATCGGAGAGCGCAGCTCCTGCTCGCGCTCCGCCTGCTCCTGCGCTGATCCGGGGTAACGCGGGGTAACGCGGGGTAACGCGGGGTAACGCGGGGTAACGCGGGGTAACGTGGGGGTAACACAGGGTAACGTGGGGTTACGCAGGGAAATGTGGGGTAACGCGGGATAACATGGGTAACGTGGGTAATGTGGGGTAACGTGGGGGTAACACAGGCTAACATGGCGGTAACACAGGGTAACCTGGGGTAAGGTGGGGTAACACGGGGTCATGGTGGCGAGTTCTCGGTGCAGGAGTCAGTCTTGGTGTTGTGTACGTGTCGTGGAGTGGCAATAGAGAGGAAGTGTGTTGCGAGTGTTGGTGAGTGTTGGTGAGTGTCGGTGAGTGTCGGTGAGTGTCGGTGAATGTTGGTGAGTGTTGGTGAGTGTCGGTGAGTGTCGGTGAGTGTTGGTGAGTGTTGGTGAGTGTTGGTGAGTGTCGGTGAGTGTTCGTGCCGGTGTTATTGGTAAGGCCGTGGCCGTGGTGCTGTGCTCATGTCGTTGTCGTCGTGTCCTCCCTCACAGCGCCCGTGGCGGTGCTCCTCCACGTTCCAGCGTGACCCAGGGTGGACCGGGCGCAGCGTGAGGTCGGCCACCACCTCCGGCTGCCCGTGGCCCCACTCGGGCAGCACCGCCCCGCTCACCTGCGCCGCACCACGCCCCCCGCACGCACATCAGCGAGCGGCCTATGCCAAGCTAGTCGTGGTGGTGTAAATATAAAGGTAGTGATGAAAATGATGGCGAAATGTAAGGGGATCCGGAGGCAGCAGAGGGGATCGAGGTGGTGGGGAGAGGGGACTGGCGGTAGCGGAGGGACCCCACCCGCAGCACGGCGCTCGTGTTCACGTGGACCAGCTGGACGTCCGACACGATGGTTTTCCAAGAGTCTTTGTCCGAGGCACGGTTCAGCACCTCCTGCATAGACATCAACAGTGAGTGAGTGTAAGCGAGTGAGTGAGTGTGAGTGAGTGTGAGCGAGTGTGAGTGAGTGTGAGTGAGTGAGTGAGTGTGAGTGTAAGCGAGTAAGTGTAAGCGAGTGAGTGAGTGTAAGTGAGTGAGTGTGAGTGAGTGAGTGTGAGTGAGTAAGTGTGAGTGAGTGAGTGTGCGAGTGTGAGTGAGTGTAAGCGAGTGAGTGAGTGTGAGCGAGTGTGAGTGAGTGAGTGTGAGTGAGTGTAAGTGAGTAAGTGTAAGCGAGTGAGTGAGTGTAAGTGAGTGAGTGTGAGTAAGTGTGAGTGAGTGAGTGAGTGTAAGTGAGTGAGTGTGAGCGAGTGTGAGTGAGTGAGTGTGAGCGAGCGAGTGTGAGTAAGTGTGAGTGAGTGAGTGAGTGTGTGAGTGTGAGTGAGTGAGTGTAAGTGAGTGAGTGTGAGCGAGTGTGAGTGAGTGAGTGTGAGCGAGTGAGTGTGAGTAAGTGTGAGTGAGTGAGTGAGTGTGTGAGTGTGAGTGAGTAAGTGTAAGTGAGTGAGTGAGTGTGAGTGAGTGAGTGTGAGTGAGTGAGTGTAAGTGAATGAGTGTGAGCGAGTGCGAGATTGGGCATTGTCACACCACATGCCCAAGCAGCTTATGTTTGGCTGGATAGAGAGGGCGAAACGGGCACGGCATGGGCTGGAGAAGAGATGGACTTAAGTGGTTATGGGACGGTGTGGAGCTGAATGGCAGAGGTCGCAACCGGGTACCCGATACCCGTACCCTACCCGATACCCGGCTACCCGTACCCGGCCGGGTACGGGTAGCCGTTTGCGACCCTGATGCGGCCGGGTACGGGTACAGGTAGGCCGTGAGTCACTGGTGAGTAACCGTTTGTCACTCATTTCGGGTAGGGTACGGGTACGGGTAGGGAACAGGTACCCGTACGCAGCCGGGGTAAGGAATCAAAACCCGTTTGCGACCTCTGCTGAATGGACTTGCCGATGACCGGTACCAACAGTGTCAAGTTTGACCTCTGTGGAGGAGGAGGCTCATAAAGGATGCTACTGGGCAGCCCCAGACTAGGTGCACTTCTGTGACGACTGGGCAGTTGGAGGCAGTTGTAGAAGTGACGCTCACACCAACCATCGAAATGCCGGGTGACTGAAATGCAGCAAAAGACTCAGCTTGCACAGTGGGGAGCCTACAAGTGGTACATCTGCCCGTCAACTCATGGTACCCGGGTCGGTCTCATAACTTCCTGCCAGCAGCGAGCCTTCCACTTCACATCATGGCCTCAAAGCGCACCTAGCCTGGCACAAGCACTGTGGTAATGTCACTGCCACTTCGTGGCGAATGGTGGCTGTTATTTTTGTCCTGTGGTTTTGCTTTTCAGAGTGGATGTGCATATAAATGTGTGTTTGTGAGTGTGTACTATTGTGTGTGTGTGTAGTCAATTGCCTTCAACAAACTTTTGGGACAAGAGTTATTCGCGAACACCTATGGAGACCGGCACGGCACACGAGGGGATGGGTGGCTAATGTTACGCCTGGCCGCCTTTGTCTCCCCAGTGCTGATGTTTACACACCGCACCAAGTAATAATTTAAGGCTGAGTCGACCTAGGCGAGGCCCAGGAGTGGTTCAAATACTCATCACTGTTATTGTTCATGAGCAGGAAGCAAACTCGGGTCGCCGGGTTCCTGGCGCAGCACGTTAACCGCCAGACGATTAGTCTGCAGACACACACATCTACATACGCAGTCACACTCACACCCGCGCGCGTCACACTCACCACGCGCCACCAGGGCTGCGCCTGCATGGATATGTTGTAGTCCACGTAGCAGGACACCTCCTGGCATGTCGGCGTTATCGGCGCCGCCACGTTGTGACTGCGCCCACGAGACGGGGGTCGGGAGGTCAGGGCCCTCACCACCAGGGACGGCGAGCGCGGCGCGTGGTGTGCGGTATGCTGCTGCTGCTGCTCCTGCTGTGGCGATGGGGTGGTGCGGTGTGCCGTCTGCGGGGTGGTGTATCGTGGTGCGGCGAGGTGTGGGACTGTGTCGTGTGGCGCGTGTCGTGTTATCCGACGTGGTGTAGTGTGGCGCATTACGTGTGGTGTGGTGGTGTGGTGCAGTGCGGTGGTACGGGGTGGTGCTTTGGTATGGTGGATATCGGTGTAGTGGGCAATGGTGTAGCGGTGTAGTAGATTTAACACGTAGGCTTTAACACGTAACCCAAAAAACCTCTAATATGGAGTGTAGTGGATGCTGGTGTAGTGGGTACTGGTGTAGCGGCGTAGCGGTGTAGCTTCGTAGTGCTGTAACGGTGTAGCCGGCACCTGTTGAGGAGTCTTGTCGACATGCCGTGGAGGAGCTGCACGATATCACCGTGCCGCACGGGGACCGGGGGAGAGTCGACCACCAGGGACTGACTGCACCGCACACGACCACACAAACATGATTGATATCACAAGACAAAGATACCCCGTGCAGCCTTAACAGGCTGTTTAGGGCAAATGCTGATTGCGAGTAGCACTTATGAAGGCCTGCACAGCATGAGAGGGGTGGGTGGCTAGCACCACACCTGGCCGCCTTTGCCTCCCCAGTGGCGATGTTTACTACACATTACACCAGGTACTCATTTAAGACTGAGTTGAACTAGGGGAGGCCCAGGACTGGTTAAGATATCACCGATGTTGGCCGTAAGCAGGTTCGTAGCGCAGTGCGCCAAGCACTGTACCACCGCTCCCCACTAACGTCATACACACCACACCACACACACCACAAATACTATACCCACCATAGCAACACAACAGGGCCCCATGTGGTGAGCATTGTGGTGACGAGTCACCCGTGGGGAGAGGAGTCCCCTGTGCGGTACCGAGTGGTGACGACTGGGTGGTGAGGAGTCACCTGTGTGGGTGAGGATCGGGTGGGGAGGAGTCATCTGTGTGGTGAGGATCGGGTGGTGAGGAGTCACCTGTGTGGGTGAGGATCGGGTGGTGAGGAGTCAACTGTGTGTGGTGAGGATCGGGTGGTGAGGAGTCATCTGTGTGGTGAGGATCGGGTGGTGAGGAGTCACCTGTGTGGGTGAGGATCGGGTGGTGAGGAGTCACCTGTGTGTGGTGAGGATCGGGTGGTGAGGAGTCACCTGTGTGTGGTGAGGATCGGGTGGTGAGGAGTCACCTGTGTGGGTGAGGATCGGGTGGTGAGGAGTCACCTGTGTGGGTGAGGATCGGGTGGTGAAGAGTCACCTGTGTGTGGTGAGGATCGGGTGGTGAAGAGTCACCTGTGTGGGTGCTTGACGATCCACCAGTTGTTGATGTCCTTGTATGGGTAGCAGGTCACCTGCTGCTGGTGGGAGCTGCCTTTCTTGTTCACGTACCTGGGAGTCACGAAGGGTCATGGTGGGGGGGGGGGGAGGGTAGGTGAATGTGTGTGAGTTATTGCGTAGACCAGTTACAATTATCCGAACCTAAGTCGACTCAGCCTCAAATGAGTGCCTGGTGCGGTGTGTAAACATCGCCACTTTGGAGAGAAAACCCACCCCTCGTGTGCCGTGCCGGCCGTCATAGGTGCTTGTGAAGAGCACTTGCCCAAAAAGTATGTTGAGGCTATACTGGGATCTTTGTGTACGAGTCAGTGTGAGTATGTCAGTGAATGAGTGTGTGTGAGCGAGCGGGTGAACGAGTATACAAGTACGTTGAATCTTCTTGGTTCTTTCGGTAAAGTCACGTAGAAGGGAAATAATTAAATAATAAAAATAAAACATAATAAAATTATTCTCACGACGTTTCGGCCACAACGCAAGCAGCCGTCCTCAGGTGAAGAACAGGTCTGTCGGAAAGACAGTCTGGGTCAAATCAAGTCAGACGCTGTCTTTCCGACAGACCTGTTCTTCACCTGAGGACGGCTGCTTGCGTTGTGGCCAAAACGTCGTGAGAATTGTATTTTATTATGTTTTATTTTTATTATTTTATTATTTCCCTTCTACGTGACTTTACCTAAAGAACCAAGAAGATGAATCCCTGCAGCCACGAAAGCTTTAAATCGAAATTTAAGTACGTTGAACTTCTTTCACACCGTACGTAGCCAATGGTGCTGTGTGAGCGAGCGAGCGAGACGAACGTGATGGGGTAGACGTCCCGGTGGGAGTGCAGCCAGCAGGGGGTGTGCGCGTTGCGCAGCGTCACTTGCGAACCAAACGCCACCTCCAGCGGCTGGCCCTGAGTGATGCGAGCCAGCCCACCCTGCACACACACACACACAGAACCCCCCGTATAACCTGTACTAGACTTTTGGTGCAAGCGCTGTTGGTGTGCACCTATGAATGCACGGCATACGAGGTGGTGGGTGCCTTTGTTTCTCCAGTGGTGATGTTTGCACACCACACCAGGTACTCAGATGAGACTCCCTGTATGTTTTACCCATGTTCCCCCCGTGTCCCCCCGTGCGTCTCCCCGTGCGTTTCCCCCCATGTCTCCCCCTTGCGCGTCTCTCTCACCTTGAGCGAGGCCTGGAAGGCGCTGCTCATGAGGTGGTCGTGGGGCCCCGTGTTTTGCAGCAGCTGCAGGTGAAGCCAGAAGGTGGCGACGTAGAGTAGCAGCGGCAGCAGCAGGAACCCGGCTACCCGAGCCACCACGTGCGCACACACGCACAGCTGCACAAGCAGGCACGCGCGTGTGTGTGTGTCAATACACAAGCACACACAAAGGTTACAGACACACACAACTGCGCTCACACTGTCATTGGTGGTGAGTGAGAATCAAACTCGGACTGACCGGGTTTGTCGCGTTGTGTGCTTAATCACTACACAAACGCTTCCCACTTTTGTAGCCACACACACACACGCAGTCTTGCGTTCCATGCATATCCTGTGTCATTTCTCTTGTCCCGTGTCCCTGTGTCCCCCTCTCTCCATGTCTCCGTGTTCCGTGTCCCCCTCTCTCCACGTCCCCGTGTCTCACGTGAGTCAGCGTGCGATCTCCTGCCAGACGCCAAATGTCGCTCGCCGCCAGCGTGCACACCAGCAGAAGGGTGAGAACACCCGTGTATTTCACCCTGCGTACACACACACAGCAGAGTGAGTGGGGCTGGTTCTACAGGGTAGGTCAAGCAACTTGGAGGTTGGGAATAGAACATGACAGTAAAGCATTGTAGTTATAATCAGGAAGAGGAGGTGGCATGGGGTGGGACTTGTGCAGATTTGAGAAGGGTAGTGTTAGTGGTTAGGGATAATGGGGTAGTGGTCGTGATAATGGGGTAGTGATACTGGTACTGAGTGGTAGGGATCGTGTTATTGCTAGTGTATTTGTAGGGGCAGTGTTAGCGGTAGCAGTTGCAATAACAATACCGGTGTGCTGTACTAGTAACGAATTGGCATGTTCTGTGTACGTGACAAATCTTTCTAATTGGCTGTGTCGGTTGGTGGCGGGTTTAACGACACATTTATATTTACGCGATCTAACCCAAAAACCTCTATTATGGATAATATGGGCCGCGAAAGCCTACTTGAAAAACCCTACTACCAAGCAAAATAAAAAATGAATAACCAAAATTAAGAAATGGCACCAAAACAAAAAGCATTTTAGTGGCAGGGGTCGCATTGGGGTTACGGGATTTTACCCAATCGCAAGTCCGCATGCCGTTCCCGTGGCTAGCAGCCACCCCCACCAGCTCACCGAGAATGACCTGCAGAACGAACACAAATGACAAAAACAAAGATCCCCCACGTAGCCTATAACAGTCTGTTGGGGTAAGTGCTGTTCACAGGCACCAATGAAGGCCAGCACAGTGCACGGGTGGGTAGCAAACACCACGCCCGGCAGCTTTTGTCTCCCCAGTGCTGATGTTTACAGACCGCACCAGGTACTAATTTGAGGCTGAATCGACCTAGGCGAGGCCCAGGTCTGGCCCAGATAATCGTCCCTGGTGTTGACCGTGAGCGGGAATTAAACACGGGTCGCCAGGTTCGTGGTGCAGCGTGCTAACCGCTACATTACAGCTCTGCGCACAGAAACACACACGTGCAAAGACTATCAAACATATACACACAAACACCATGTCTGGTAGGCTCAACGCACCTGTGCTTGGCCAATGTGCTCCAATTCTAACCACTACCCTCCCCGTGACTCTGCCCCTAACCAACTCGAACCCCAACCGGTGTAGACACTGCAGGTGCCCGTACCGCGCTGTGCGGAGTTTCAGGGCGCACAGCACGGAGAGAAGCGAGAAGCAGATGAGAAGTGGCTCCAGCAGCACGAAGCGAGACTGAGTCAGCAGCGCATTGTCTGTTCACACACACATGCACAAAGACATAGAGGCACACACACAGATATACACAAAGACCGCATTGTCTGTTCACACACACAGACACACACACGCACAAAGACATGCAGGCACACACACAGAGATACACAAAGACCACATTGTCTATGCACACACAGAGACGAAGACATACACACAAAGATATACAGAGACACACTCAAAGATATATACACCACACATAGATATATACACAGTCCATTGCCTGTACACATACACAGTGGGTATGTTGATACGAGTCTGAATATCACTGGGTTAGGATCTAGGTGGGTTTGCATTGATCTGGGTGGGTCCGGGCAGTTATTGGTGAGGCTGGGTTGGTCTGGATGCCTTCTTGTGGATCCCCATGGGTCCCTATTGGTCCCCGTGTCCCTCCTTGTCTCCCCATGGGCCCCCTTATCTCCCTGTGGGCCCCGTGTCTCCCCATGGGTCCCCGTACCCATGAGCATCAGCAGGCCGGCGAGGATGGCGCCGAGGGGGGAGAGTCCAAGCTGCGTCGAGATGAGGTAAGCGAGTGGCACGGTCAGTGCCCCGCACAACGCCGGCACGGCGCGCAGGGCACGCACGGGCACTGCCGCGTTATACTCTACAGGGAGACGCACGGGGACAAGTGGGGAGACACGGGTTAGCACGGGGAGATGTACGGAGGTACGGGGAGGCATGGGAAGATATGGAGATGCACAGGAAGGCACGGGGGGATACGGAGAGACAGATAGACAGGTACATAGATGGATACTTCATAGATTGACAGGTAGATTCTAGATAAGCAGGTAGATAGTCTAGAGAAGGGAATGTAGTTAGAACATGAGTCTGTGTTTATGCTATGAAGCCAGGAGAGAGGATTGGGGAGAAAGGGGAAGGAGCAGGACAAATGGGGAGAATTCCCCCCCTGGATTTGTCACCTGCTCCAATTCGCTCCCACGTGAAGTTTCCATTGAAGTCACCCAGGTATGCTGTGGGGGCGGGAGACATGGGGAGATGTGGGTGGGGGAGGAATTAGATAGGTGAGACATGGGGAGATATCGGCACAAGGGGCATGACAGATATAGCGCCGAGCGGATTGGTGCAGACACTTGCAAACGAACGAGCACAGCTGGTAGTCAACCCTTCAAAGCACGAGGCTATTGCGAAGGAAGGCAGAGATTGGCACAGTCTACCGTGGTTTTACAGTGGGAAGGTGCTGTGTAGCTTTTACCTAATTAAGTCGTTTCCGAGTACTTTAGCATTCAACTTTGGACCGCGATGTGACACCCACACCATGGCCTACTCTTTTTAGAATACCTTCATGGGGATTTTTCACGTCCACTGCGAAACAGATCACACTCAATAACCGTATTCGGTACACCCGCATTATTAAACAGGTCGGCCGCATTTCTCGAACCGCGATCTTCTGCAATGATCGGCGTGCCACCCCCTCCGCCTAGGTAGCCATATGTTGCGGCACGCTGTTCGGTTGGAGGGTTTAGATCCGGTTTGAGCAACGAGGTAAACATGATGATACATTTCTTCGCAAACACTTTTGAAGAGACAAGGGGGAGACACCGGAAGACGCGCAGAAACCACGGAGTCACACGAGGAGACAGGAAGATGTAGGGCAACACAAGGTGACACGGGAAAAATGTGGTTGCACAGTGGTCACACGAAGAGATAAAAGGAGACACGGGTGACACAGAGACACAGAGACATACGGTGACACAAGGAGACACAGGAAAACAGCACGGGAGATGAACGCGATCACAAATTTGTGTAACATGTGTTACACACGTGTTACACGTAGAAGGCGACTGTCTCCAACTGCCCTGTAGCCTCAAATTCCACCTAGCCTGGCACTGCCCAGTAGCGTAACACATGTGTTAGACGTGTGTGTGTGCTCATACCGCCCAGCGCCAGCAGCATGTGTCCCAGCGGGGGCCCACTTTGATCCACGAAGAACACCCCATTCACATAGAGACTCACAAATTGCCCGTAATATACTTCATCAAATCTGTACGCACAGAAACACACACACACACACGTATACATAACTTCACAAACATATAGAACAGGCGCTATTCTCCACTTCGTGGAAGAGACATCACCGCAGTGATTGTACCTGGGTAGGTGCACTTCGAGACTATCACGTGAAGTGTAAAAGGCTCACTGCTGTCAGATTACGGGACAGACCCAGGTGCCATGGGTTGACTCAGATGACTGGCAGATGCACTGCCTGTGCTCCCTGCTTTGTCACCTTGCTTGAGTTTTAGCCACCCGTCGCTCCACGTGTTGTTGTGAGCGTCGCACCTCTGTCTCCAACTGCCCTGTAGCCTCAAATTGCGCTTAGTCTGGCACTGCTCAGTAGTGTCCTTCACGAGCCTCCTCCACAGAGGCCGATCTTGACACCACTGGTGCCAGTCAATCATTTGCAAGTCCACTTAATTCCAAAGCATAATGGCATAATACAATAAAATACGTTGTCGATTTTCACGATACGATGTTGTATTAGACATTATTATTGAATTGTTTTTACGCTTGGACATAATTCCAGTGCAGGGGGAGACGACAGATATATTACGAATATGAAAGGAAAATAAATCAAAGGTTGAAAAAATACACAAAGCTGCGTGGGGAGGAGGTACATGTTTGAAATCACAATCAGAAAAAAATCTGTAAAATATAAAGAACTCCACGCAGAAGTATATTAAGGAATAATTACAGAAAGAGGAACACACGGAGGAGAGAACAAATCGAAGACATCATTGAGATTAACAATTGACTGTTGGGTTTGGTTGACGAACCAACAAAATATATTACGGTTTCGATGTATTAACACTAGCTGCAAAAAACAAAAACACCTCTCACATTAAGTGGCTTTGGCAAGAAAACAAAACTAGACAGCCAGTTTTGTTTAATCATGTTTAGCTTCTTTTTCACACGCTGGTTTCCTGCTATAAGTTTTACCCACCAAGCAACATAGCAGGAGGCTGTTTCTTCCTGACCTGCTTTTTTGCTTTTACCATCTACATGGCAGTGGCTCGGTCGCATTAGCAGCAGTTGCACTTTAACAACTCTGGCACCCCCCCCCCCCCCCCTCTCAGCCAGTCTACATAACAAAGGCTCAGTCCTTTGTTATGTAGACTAGCCGTAGTTTCAGCCGCACCAACCTTACCATCATAATTAAAAGGGGGCCTGTCCTGGCTCCTCCCCCCTCAACCAGTATATATACGGGATAGGATCTCTTGGAATTTCTCATTTACTTGATACAGCTATCGTGCTGTGACGGTTCCACCTGAAGACGGAAACTTGTGTTGCCTCCGAAACGTCGTGATTTTTATTTTATTTTACTTTTATTAATTTAAATTTTTTAGCTACGTGACTTTACCGAAAAAACCCAAGAATATGAATCCTTGCAGTCACGAAAGCTTCAAATCTAGAATTAAAGACACAAAACTGCTCAACGGGATGATGACCGAAAATGTGCCTGGACATGGGGTGACAGCCAGCACGAGATAACGCACAGAGGATTTCCGCCACAAATAGACTGCAATTGGAGGGCCAAGATGCTATGTTTGGCTGTGGCGTCAGCAATTATTGCGATTTCACACCCTGCACATTGACTTACATTGTCAAGGTTTACCACTCGTCAGCGACCTGTAACCCCCGATTGAGCAGTATAGACGATGTGGTTGACTCTTTGAGGACATGCCGGCTTGTATATTTTTTAGTGCCCTGCTTTGCAACCCACCACGAAAAAATTAACCCGTAAAAACTAAGTTTTTCACTATAAATCCTCTATATGCGTGGCATCGGTTTTATTTTATTATTCATCTCTGTTTTTCTTGAGTAAGAGTTCCATTTTTTATCACATTGGTATTTTAAATTAAATATGAAAATTTTTTTTTCCTAAAAAGTGGAAATTTTTTTATTTTTTTTCACGAAAATAAGTTGTCACGCACAACGAGTCTGTGTGCAAAATGTCAGCTCGATTGGATCACGGGAAGTGGGTTAAAAAACGATCGAAAGATTTGCACGGTCGTAAGCGCGCAAGCAAGTGAACTTAATATAAAGGATTTAAATAAGTATAACCCGTAAAAACAAAGTTTTTCACTATAAATCCTTTATATGCGTGGCGGCTAGAGCCCTCTCGTCCTCTGGCTTGAGATGGCTGCCACCTATGGGTCAGATGATTGTCTGCCAGTATTAAGCAATTGGTAATTAAATATTTAATTTGTTTTCCCTAAACAGTGTAACATTTTGGGAATTTTCTTTTCACGAACATTAATTGTCTCGCACAACGAGTCTGTGTGCAAAATGTCAGCTCGATTGGATCACGGGAAGTGGGTTAAAAAACGACCGAAAGATTTGCACGGTCCTAAGCAAGCAAGCAAGCACGCAAGCAAGCAAGTGAACTTAATATAAAGGATTTTTAAAAAGGTTGTCACTCTGATCACACCACTCACGCTCATTACACACATCACGTCGACTGCACGCACCACAAGTCTAATAAACAACATACACGGTGCGCATCACACCCACCACACATCTCATAATCACAACAAAAACCATCGTTCGCCACCGAGTGACAGGGACGTAACCACAGCGCTTGTGCCAGGCTAGGTGCACTTTGAGGCCACTTTAAGTGCCGAAGGCTCTCTGCTGGAAGGATGTCACGGGACAGACCAAGGTGTTATGGGTTCACTTAGATGCCTGGCAGATGCACCACCTGTGCTCCCCATTGTGCCAACTCGCTGTAGTATTTTAGATGTGCTCCTTGTTTTTGGAGCGGTTGCCATGTTTCATCATTTTTTTTTCATGTCACCGTGTCTCTCTGTGCTTGTCTTTTCCCGTGTCGCCCTGTCAGTGTCTCTCTCCCCACCCCCTCGCTCTCCCTCCCGGTGTCCCCATGCGCCCCCCTCGCCACCGCATCTCTCCCTGTCCCTATCCCCACGACCATCGGAATTCCGCCCGTCCCCCCCAACGTCTCCCCCACTCACACAACGGCGCCGGGGTACGCAAGTCCCCCTAGTCGGCTCCACAGCGCCAGCAACGTGAGCAGCACGAGGCCCACGTCCACCTCGACGCTCAGCCGCACGGACAGAGGCCGCTTGGGCAGCGCCAGAATGTTCTCCATGTCTCCCCGGAGCGCGGCGGCCGCGATTCGTGGTCCTTCTCTCCAAGCGCACCGACCTCGCCTGGTTCCACTGCCCGAACCGCGCAGTGGGAGCCGGGGGACGGGCAGGCTTCTCTTCCTCTTGGGAAGCAGGCCGGAGGAAGTTGAAGGGCATTACGGAAGCCGCGATGCGGATCGCAAATTGTTTTTTAAAAACGCGTTTTGAATGGGAATAGCAATCACGTTCCAGCTGCGTGTTTAAAGGGCAACATGCATTCAAATTACTACAGGAAATGTAACGCATCGTTGTCAACCCATATACGGGTTACCCCGTATTCTTGTACACGGAAATTGAGTTTTTAGGTCCATGCGGCGTACAAACGTTTCAATGCGGGCAAAAAAAGTGGTTTATTTGTTTGTGTTTCTCCCTTGTGATGGAACTTTGTAGGATGAACGTTGAGATTTATAAAGGCACGAGATAACCAATAAGGTCTGAATAAGGTAGGCACTGATTAGGGGGTGACAGGTATGGTAATGTGGATGCAAATAACCAATTCACCATATTATTGGTTCTTTCGGTAAAGTCACGTAGGAAGGGAAATAATAAAATAAAAATATAAAACAATAAAATTCTCACGACGTTTCGACTGCAACACACATAATCATCATCAGGTGTGAAGTCCACAACAAGAAAACGTCGTGAGAATTTAATTGTTTTATATTTTTATTATTTCCCTTCTACGTGACTTTACCGAAAGAACCAAAAATATGAATCCCTGCAGTCACGAAAGCTTTAAATCAAAACCAATTAACCGTTAAACGTGGCACTTAAGTACAAATTACCAGTCACAGCGAGGCAGTGTGTCATTCAATTAACACGTAGAAATTACAAACGTAAATTAAATGCCACGCACTATTTGAATTACGTCATTTGGACGCTTAATTTCGCATTCCAGATCTACTAGTGAGACTCGAGTAAAGTGAATAGCAGTAACCACGGCCATAGAAAGGAGAGGTGTGGTAGATGCAGTGTGCCGGGTATAGAAATATGTGCCCAGTGGAGTTGGTGAATACCTAGATATGAGTAGCCATAGCGAGAAGATGTATACTGGACGTGGTGTGCCGGGTAGGGAAATACGTTGACGAGTCGCCGATTCCGACTGAGCCAGCTGACGCGAAGCCGTGGGTGCTAACACGCGTGGCACCAACACGTGTGGCACCAACACGCGTGGCACCAACACGCGTGAAATCCACACAGAAGTGTGAATTTCAAAAGTTATTTTGGGCCGGACTTTTGTTTGCTGGAAATGTATTTCAGTGAATATCCGATGTTTGTTGCACTGTTTTCCATTTATACTCTTAACGGAGATATTTTTGCACCAATTTATATCTGGTTTTATTTCTGTCCCATTGTTATCTCTTTCACCTTTGTTGCATTGCTGCGCTTGTTTTTATCTTTTTAAAGAAGTCCGTTTGGTGACCCGGGTGGTTTTGACCAACGAGACTCATCCTTGTCCCTCGAAGTGCTCACCCGGTTACACGAAATAAACTTGAGCCACCAATACGCGTTGCACATACATCCGTCACAAGTGCCTACTGATTGCCGAAGGCGCAATGATTAACCAGCCGACTCCACCTCGCCCAAGGTTTATGACCTTTTATTTTTAACAACAATAACTCACCAAATTCATCATCTACAAACGCCAGATGATTCGAAAGTTGCACCACCAGACTCCTGAATGAGACCACATCAGCCCAGTGCTCCCAATCCATTCACTGGCTCCCAATCCCATCCCAAATCAGTTTCAAGATCGCGATCTCCGTTTTCAAGATCCTCCGTGGACTCGCCCTTGGAAACTTCTCCCCTCTCACCTCACGCTACCCCCACCCCACTATCATATGTCTTCCATCACGCTACTCCCCTCCACACACTCTACTACCTCTCCCCTCTCATCTCACTCTACACCCCTCCACACACTCCCCTACCTCTCCTCTCTCATCTCACTCTACTCCCCTCCACACACTCTCCTACCTCTCCCCTCTCATCTCACTCTACTCCCCTCCACACACTCTCCTACCTCTCCCCTCTCATCTCACTCTACTCCCCTCCACGCACTCTCCTACCTCTCCCCTCTCATCTCACGCTACTCCCCTCCACACACTCCCCTACCTCTCCTCTCTCATCTCACTCTACTCCCCTCCACACACTCTCCTACCTCTCCCCTCTCGTCTCACTCTACTCCCCTCCACACACTCTCCTGCCTCTCCCCTCTCATCTCACTCTACTCCCCTCCACGCACTCTCCTACCTCTCCCGTCTCATCTCACTCTACTCCCCTCCACGCACTCTCCTGCCTCTCCCCTCTCATCTCACTCTACTCCCCTCCACACACTCTCCTACCTCTCCCCTCTCATCTCACTCTACTCCCCTCCACACACTCTCCTGCCTCTCCCCTCTCATCTCACTCTACTCCCCTCCACGCACTCTCCTACCTCTCCCGTCTCATCTCACTCTACTCCCCTCCACGCACTCTCCTGCCTCTCCCCTCTCATCTCACTCTACTCCCCTCCACACACTCTCCTACCTCTCCCCTCTCATCTCACTCTACTCCCCTCCACACACTCTCCTGCCTCTCCCCTCTCATCTCACTCTGCTCCCCTCCAAGTTTTCTCAGCTCCAGCACTCAAGTCGTTCTGCGGATGCCTCCAGCCAACCTTTGCTTAGTGGAAGGTCGCTCATTCTCCTCTGCTGCCCTCGTCGTCTGAAGCTCCCTTCCCCCGGCGATCCGTGCTGTCGACTCCCTGCCTGCCCCTGTTAAAGTCCAGGTTCAGCTCCTCTACTGCATACTCTCAAGCCTAAATATAGGGTTTTTTTCAGACCACGAAACAACGTTTTTCAACAATATTAAATAAACAAAACCCCGCTTTGATGTCCGTTTAAACGCCATAAATATGACAAACTTCCCTTTTTCTCTACTCACGTACATTCTGAACAGTTGTGCAATGGGCAGTACTATATACTGCATACAAATGGTGCTTGTGAGCAGTAAAACATATATTGACCATGGTAAATCGTTCAACATATAAAGGTGCAGCCCTGCAATTGCCTAGTCACGCCACTGCTGGTGGAAAAGGGCCTCCACTACAGGAAGCTGTGGAGAGCTTATGTAGAGGTAGAGATAAAAGAGGGGGCAAGCCTCCAAATGCAACTGCTTCTAAGGGCTTTCAGAGTGAGCAAAGCTGTGCGGCGTAAACAGCATGGGCGGGCAGCCAGCGCCAATGTTGGAGCAAAGCACCAGAAGTACAAGTACAGTGATACCTCGGTTCACGAACGCTTCTGTTCACGAACAACTCGGTTCACGAACAGAAAAGTTCATAAAAATATGCTCCGGTTCACGAACTCCGCTTCGGTTCATGAACAGGAGCCGCGGCCATTTTAATGCTATTTCCAGGCTGTCACATGGTCGTGACTTCCTGTAGGAAGATCGTGGAGAGAAGAAGAGACACAGAAAGAAGTACTGTGAGTACTGTGAAGACACTTTCAGTGACTTTTTGCTTTTTGGTGTGCTTTTTAGCACATACAGTACTGTACTGTACTACTGTACTGTACAATGCTGTACTTACTGTATTGTACAGTTCACCCGTTTGAGTGCTTACTGAAGTCATCTCAAGCAAGGTTAGTGTTCTCTCTTTATACATTACTATACTGTACAGTACTAATGTGTATTGTAATTTGTTTCATATTTTTGTGCTTCAAAAACCAAAAAAAAAGGTCAAAACGGATTAACCGGATTTACATTGAACCCTATGGGAAAATGTGCCTCAGTTCACGACCAATTCGGTTCGCGACCAGAGTCAGTTCACGAATTAAGTTCGTGAACCGAGGTATCACTGTAGTACAAGTGTAGTGCCTGAAAGTACGCGTCACACGCACGCGGCGTACAGTGGGAACAAATAAGGACACGTGGTGCTGATTGGCTGGTTGTTGTTGTTGTCGAGATGTGGGCCGCGCTGTCTGAGGACGGTAGCAGGTGGCAGGGAGTAATTAAGGACGCAGGGCGCTGATTGGCCGAGAGGGTGTTGTTGTCGCGGAGTGGCACCGCATTGTGGGAAAGACATGCCAGGTGCCAGCGGGGGGCTGGGGGCGAGTGGCGTCGTGGGGGATGCCCCGGATTAATTGAAGATTAATTGGCTCAGGGATAAAGAGAGGGGTTTTTGGAGACGGGAGTTCGCGCCTGGGAGGAGACAGAGGATGGAAGAGTTGGAGCAGCAGAGCTAATAGCAGTGTAGGGTAGCAGTAGAGAAGTGTAGGGTAGCAGTGGAGAGGTGTAGAGTAGCAGTGAGACGACGAAGCCAGTAGGAAGCGGCTGGAGTGTGGGAAGAGAAGCTGATGTAGTTACGACGGAGTGGGACGGCGAAGCTGATAAAGAGCAGCCGAACTGTGGCGGAGAGAGTGGAGAGGAGAGTCGACGGAGGAGTGATGGGGAGCGAGTGAGGCCGGCGGAACGCGGCGAGCGAGCGGAGAGCGCGGAGGAGAACCGTGGATCGGTGTTAGCTGGAGGAACGTTGAGCGATGTTGGATGGGGGAGTGTTGATCGAAATACGCGAAATAAAGTGAAGAGGAAAGACAGGAAGCTGTCGAGTCGAGCGCCACACAAGTGTAGTGGGTACAGATGGAGACTCGGTCTTCTCTGGAGGCAACACGTTTATTTATAACAATAATAACGGTAACACAAGGTCCCTAACACAAGGAGGTAATGGCCCCCTTCACCCAATACCCTGGGGAGGTATAGCCTCCGGGCTAGCGTGCCCTAATCACTGGGACCACTCTCTATATCACAGCCCTCCTGCTAGGGGGGACCTAGGGGAGGCTAGCCTGACCTGACGCAGCCCAAGGTCCTCGGGTCCTGACCACTGGCCCACTTGGTCCTGGCCCTGACAAGGATTTCAGGTCCGAAAGTTCCCAGGGTCCTATTCTGGGCTGGCTGTTCGGTCTTCTGCTTGAGGACGAGGTCCGACTTAAATACGGTGCCCAGGGTCACTCCGCTCCTGGCCACGCCTACTCTCTAGAACCTTCTGGAGGTACCTGGATTATTGCGTAATGCCCCAGCCCCCACTGGAGGGCTTGGGGTGTGTACCTCCGGTTCCCAACCACCCTCTGGGTTCCCTGGCCTAACGGCGTTACCTGGTACAGGCCCATGGCTGGTGCTACACCAGGTCAGTAGTGGTGACGGCGTATTAGGTACGCTAACAATACCGACTACACAAGTAAAGCGAGTGCGTTAGACAATGTCTCTGGTTATGATTGGTTATTGTTGAGTAATTGTGAATGTGGTTATGCTAGTGTGGTCGTGAGTGGTTCTGTAATTGAGTGGCCGTTATTGTGGTTTAGTGATTGTGTGGTTTAGTGATTGAATGATTGTGTGTTTAAGAGCATTGGGTTGCTCTTCATGCTGTTGGGGTCCCTTACTCACAATCATTAAGGACCTTCATTATGGTGGACAGGCCCGGTTAAAGCTGTTTGACCGGGAGTCACAGCCATTCACTGTTCACCTTGGGCTGAAACAGGGATATTCTCTGGCTCCTACACTATTTAATATATTTTATCACATTGTTCGAGGCGCATTACATTAATGTACTATACAAATGTCCCATTCTGGCACAAATACATTGAGAAGCTGACATGCCCGGGTCAAGGGATGTGTCCGGAGTGAACTGATGATCTGGTAATTTCTGCTAAACTGAAAAGTTGGAGACTTCACGGTTATTATAACAACCTGGCGCGGTGCTGGCCAACCACCTCCTCGTGTGCCGTGCCGGCCTTCATAGGTCCTCGCGAACAGCACTTGCCCCAACAGCCTTTTGAGGCTACACAGGGGATTTGTCCTTTATCTTTGTTTTGTATAGATTGTGTCGCTCCTAGTGATGATGGTGTGTCTAGTTACGTGATTTATTGGCCCTATATCCGACGGATAAGAGACACGGAGCCAAGGTCCAGGGATTGAAGATGCCAGATTAAAACTGACCCTGCTCAGAACCATTGGCACGTCACTCATTAATACGTTCACCCGGCCGGTCTGTCAACCGCACAATTCCGACAACCCTCTCTTTAAATCCTTCACCCATCAGAGTCTCACCGCCTAAATCATCTTACCCGTCAGCGTTGTCACTCACGCTCCCAATCACCCACACCTGCCTGTGCGTCGATCGCTCGTTAACCCCCTTGACCCTTCCCTTACCCCCCAACCCGCCCTAACCATGACCTTCGCCGTGCGCTTCGCCTTGACCCTGATCTTCACCCTGACCCTGCTCCATGATCCCGCCGCGGGGTTCTACCCGAACCAGGCCTCCCTGGGCACGTATCGCGCCAACCACACGGACGAGTCCGTGACGGAGACCGGGGCACTGAGAGCCGTGGCGAAGTTCCTCGAGGGCAAAGCGGGGCTCGCGCCGGGTGCCTTGGAGGGTCTCTCGCCGCTCACGCCGACCACGCTCATCCAGGCGTACTACCAAGGTGAGGTAACGGGGAGATGATGGAAGCGGGTCGGTGTGGTGGTGGTGGTGGGGAGGGAGAAACCGGGAGGGTGAGAGGAGACACGAGGAGGGGGATAAGGGGTGAGGCCCAGGCAGATATCAGGAGGCTTTGGAGATGAAGGACGAGAGAGGAGAGGTGGTGAGATGGTTGTGGTGAGGGGATTGATTGGCGAAGTGAGCGATGGCGAGGTTTAGTGGTGAAGGGATTGATCGGCGGGAAGGTGAAACTTTAACAATGATTTTTTTCACATTTTTTTTACATAGCGCCATACGGGGTCTCAGAGCGATTTATCACATCACATCTCTACACGTGTGGCAGGGCACCCCCCAGTGGCAAGTTGTCCCTTTGGCTTGCAAGCACTGCTAGTAGGGTGCGGTGACTGCTGCCGCTGTGTATCACCACAATTGAGTTATATGCGGTGTAATATTTTTGGTCGTTATGTGTACGATGACGCCGGAAAAACAACGGCCTACTCTTGCAATCAACACGCCCGTAGTTAAATTCACAGCGAAGCATTAACTGAGGCGGCCACTTTGGGCAAACCGTGAACCTCTCGCAACGAGCTGCGACCGCGACACCGCTAGGCCGCGCCACAGCCCTTTGTGAGGCGAGAGATGGTGGTGAGGTGAGGGAATTAAATTATTAATTGGCGAGGCGCGAGTTGGCGAGGCGATCGGGTGAGGGGATTGGCGGGAAGATGAGGCTTTGTGAACACGGGGTGGTGAGGTGAGAGATGGTGAGCGGATTGGTGGGAAGGTGAGGCTTTGTGAGACACGGGGTGGTGAGGTGAGAGATGGTGAGCGGATTGGTGGGAAGGTGAGGCTTGGTGAAACATGGGGTGGTGAGGTGAGAGATGGCGAGAGGATGGCGGGAAGGTGAGGCTTTGTGAGATACGGGGTGGTGAGGTGAGAGATGGTGAGCGGATTGGCGGGAAGGTGAGGCTTTGTGAGACACGGGGTGGTGAGGTGAGAGATGGGGAGGGGATTGGCGGGAAGTAGGTCTCGGCAAGGTAAGGTAAAAGTTAAAAGGTAAAAACAACGAGCCTACCTTTACCCTACCTTTTATCCTTACCCCATACAAATTACCCGATTACAGGGTAATTACTGGGGTACGACTACACATGAACAAGGTTTATAATGGAAAATGCCAGGTAGAGCGCTTTAATCATATAGAATACTCTCGATTATTCCAATTTTACAAGCTTTCTTTTAACTCTGTCTGTTGTTGTCGTTGTCGTTATTGTTGTTGTATCCTCAAATCTTGAAACTCTATTTTTACCCACTTCCTAATGTGGTATCGACTGCAAACTTGGTATACTTAGGTCATACTGATGACAATACTATATTCTATCATAAAAAATCTATATATTTTTAACAATCTTTTTTATTTTTTATGTTTCGGCTTGGGTCTAATTGTCCACGCTCAACTGACGTTGGCTGTAAATCACCACGGTCCCTTACGTTGTGGCAAGCTTCGGGGCCACTTCCTGGAGTTCTGTCATTACTCGTACATTTAATAAAAGCATGTTTTTTATAAAGTTTGTTTTAATATTACTTATTAAATGTAGGCCACGGACTGCACGACGGAGCTTTTAGCGGTAAACAAGGTACCGTATTTACCGGGTAATACTTTGCGCTATCTTTACCCTAACGGGTAATTCTTTTGAGCTACCTTTACCCTACCCTTTACCTTACCCCTTGGCATGTCGACATCTTTACCCTTTACCATTACCCTTTTACCCGGTAAAAAGGGTAAATTACCTTACCTTGCCGAGGCCTAGCGGGAAGGTCAGGCTTTGTGAGACACGGGGTGGTGAGGTGATTCATTGGTGAGGTGGGAAATGATGAGGGGATTGGCGGGAAGGTGAGGCTTGGTGAGATACGGGGTGGTGAGGTGAGAGATGGTGAGCGGATTGGCGGGAAGGTGAGGTTTGGTGAGATACGGGGTGGTGAGGGGATTCGTCGGTGAGGTGAGTGATGGTGAGGCTTGTTGGTGAGTGACCCGTCTCTGATCCCCCTCTTGCTAGGTAACGTGTCGGCGGTGAGGTTCATCAAGGCTCTGCAGGAGGTGGTGGACGGGAACAACTTAATGGAACAGTCCTATTCCGACATCACCCCCTACTTCGCTTACTGCGAGAAATTGGCAGACAGTAGGTACCGCGGGGGACTCGGGTCCCCTCTCGCACCCCAGCCACAGTGATCCACATCCCCCCTCATCATCATCCCCTTACCGCGGGGGTTCCCATTCTCACCTCTCCCCCCGTCTATTCCCCCGCCGCAGTGTGCGTCTGTGCACAGGCGAGTGCACATGTGGGGTGAGTACATGGGTATGTGAGTACACGGCTGGGTGAGTACAAGGGTGAGTGAGTGTGAGGACACCCACGAACTTGTATGTTGTAAATCATAAAAATTTTCGACGTGATGAATTGACAACAGCCTCCACCGAATAGGCCATGCTGCCTCGGTCATGGTCATCCCCTAGGTCGACTCGGCCTCAAATGAGTACCTGGTGTGGTGTGTAAACATCGCCACCGGGGAGACAAATACTACCGGGCGTGGTGGTGCTGGCCACCCAAACTCGTGTGCCGTGCCGGCCTTCATAGGTGCTCACTAACAGCACTTGCCGCAACAGTATGTTAAGGCTATAGGGGGGATCTTTGTCTTTGGATAAGTTGTGAGTACACTCACGGATTTGTATGTTATATATCATTTCATGATAAATCACGCGAATAAGATACACTGCCCGAAACGTCACCTATTATATATTGATACCCACTCCAACAAAACATCTTAACGCTGGTTTTATTTGCAGAAATGGTATAGCCTATTCTTATTTTTCATACTTTGAGACGAGCAAAAATGTCTCAAAGATATAACTGCTCAACCCGAGCTATAAATGCTTTGATATGTGCATAGGCTTTGAACTGTTCGCATTTTGGCGTTGATCTCTGGTCTGACACTATTGTCGGCAAATCAGTTTCAAAGACAATGCATATATTATCATGTTCACCATAAGTACGTGTGGTTAATGCAGACTAGATTCCTTGCTAAATGTACCTATTTGTTGTTTGAACATCTTAACACTTGCTTAATTGCCGAAAAAGAGTACATCCTATTCTTATTATATTTCCACCTCAAGGGCCCTGCAGCCTTGGCTTGCTCTTATGGCTTTGCATCCAGGGCCATTGTGTGTGCTTGTGTCTGTGTGTGTGCAGCAAGAGGGGAGTTGGGCAAGTTCCGCAAAATTGCCATGAACTATGCGAACATGAGCAGTCCAGCCCTGGCGAGGAAGAACCTGGGTCAAATGCTGCACATTCTCAACAAGTTCTACTCCAACACCAACTGGATCGAGCAGGGCAACCTGATCCCCCTGGAGGCCCTGGGTACGTGGGGTGCAGGGGTCGTGCCCACCTGTACACGTCACCCACCAATGTGTCCAACCTCGTTCCACTCGCCCATTGCTGTGTTGACCCCCTGTCTCGGCCTCGCTGTGCGCTGCATTGCACCGTTATCCAAGTAGTTAACCTCGCATCCAATAAACCCTGCGAGCCAGGGTGAACATCCGACTCCAAACATAATTTATTGAATTGAACGAGGTAAAACTGATGGAAAAACACAGCACAGATACAGCATCTGTTAATACTTGGAAATATCAATACGATGAATGAACACCACAGCATCATAACATTGTATTAGATAACATGAACTTAACAATAGATCCTAGATGGACCAGGCACCTGCATTAGTACTGCTTAGCTATACAAGAGAATAAGCTACTGTGTTAAACAAAGGCACATCGTGCAATCATCACACTGCACCCCAGATGTACAGCACTGCATATAACACTGCACTATGAATGAGACATTTCGGCATCCTTGCTCTCAAGATCGCAAAATAGTTACTTGGGTACAAGTTTGACTTGACTTATTCAATTACAAGTAAGGCAAGTTGCAGGTTTCGTTGTTAACTAGGCCTCGTATTTATCATAACAATTTAACAGCATTATAAAGGCATTTACAGCATTATAACGGTCATTCTAACATTATAACAGCATTCCCAGTATTATAAGAACATAAACGAACTTACAGACAATGCTTCTTAAAGTCCCACAATGTACAGTTACAGCTGGCTTCACTGGGACGCGATTTGTGCCGCCATCTTGAACTCTGTGTAATGGCGGACCCCCAGCCTCGTGGCTGAGCGGCTGTCAAATCGGAACTTCCTGGTCACGTGACCAAATTCAACCTCAAAACAGAAAATTCCTGTGTACTCACACTCCCACTCCTGCTTGTGGAGCAAAACACCTGCCGTGAGGCAGAACACCTCCATACCACATACTCACCCATATGTTAGCCCTGTAACACCTTCTCACCTGGGTCCCACACTTAAAAAATAAGCCTTTCCACTTTTTTCCTTAATTCGCACAAATATGGTATATTTTGGGTGTTTTCCCCCCAATCACCTATCTGTAGGGGTCACGCATGGGTCCCATGACCCCTACATCTAACCTCAGCGTGCCCCCGCTCGACCTCTACAAATATGTTGGTGGGGTACGAAGACCCGCGAAAGGGGTTTGAGTGAGGGGGGTATCTTATAAAGTTATTTAGCTCATCAAAAGCTCAAGCGCATCAGGGCACGGCAGGCGCCCAGCGTGGCTAGCCCTTCATTTTTTATAAGGCGGGGAAACCTGATACAGGTTTCCTGCGCTTTACATATATACTGCTAACTTATTTCTACCCATTAATTGACTATATGCGTATTCTTAGGTTTTTTCGGTAAAGTCACGAAGGTAAAAAAATAACTTGATACAGCTATCGTGCTGTGACGGTTCCACCTGAAGACGGAAGCTTGTGTTGCTTCCGAAACGTCGTGATTTTTATTTTATTTTTATTAATTTTAATTTTTTACCTACGTGACTTTACCAAAAAAACCTAAGAATATGAATCATTGCAGTCACGAAAGCTTCAAATCTAGAATGACTATGTGCGGTTTGAATTGTCCTTGCTGTGCGGTCGGACACGGGACATTGCGTGCGGTGCACTGTCTTGTACGCGCTATTTGGCAGGAAGCTCATCTCCGCGTGCGGTCCATTGTGGGTTGGGTCTTTGCGGTCCATTGTACGGGATTTCGCTTTGTTCGCCCCATTTTTGGATTGCATCTACCCGCATAAAACGAGGAAACATGTAATGGGATGCCTCGTTTGAAGATCCACTCAACGGCTTCCTGAGATGCTGATTGGGTAAATGAAGTGCTGCCCGCAACAGATGTTAGTAGGCAGGTTGAAGCGATACGTTCTATGGTCTCGGACGCCATGATTACAGTCGCGCTGGGGATCGTCCATCATCATCATCAACGCCCAGAAACAACGCACACGAGCCAGCGCCTCCTAGTGGCTCTGTGAATGCGGAGCGCAGCACAATCACTTTCACAGCACGGGGTAAGGGGGCCCACCCCATAGCATCAATCTCGACTTTAGAGCAGCGGTTCCCAACCCTTTCGAGTGTGCGGACCCCTTTTCAACCTCCAAACGTTTCGCAGACCACCACATGCTGCTTGCTGTTTGAATGATTAATTTTCTTTGTTTGAATATTATGTTTTATTCTCCGCATACCCCTGTAGTAGTCTCGCGGACCACCAGGGGTCGGCGTCCTAGAAGTTGGGTTCTCACAGTGCGGACCCCGACCACTCGTGGTCTGCCACGACCCTCGAGGTGGTCCGCTGGCTCATGCAAATCAAGGTTGATCTGGAAATAATGACAATGTTTATATCATGTGTTTTGGACATTAATTAATATTTTTATATTTAATTAATAAACCGTAGGTAAACTACCCTGATTAAACTACCCTAACTCTAAGATCTAAATACCTCCCATAAAATACCCTTTTAGCTGCGTTATTTTTTTTATGTTCCGGTAACACTCATCATTCTGTATTACTGAGAGAAGCGAATGCGTTTTGTCACGAGGGGCGGGGGGTTGTGTGGGAATGTTTGTACTGGTCGCGTGGTCCACCCGCCAACACAGTTTGAGATAACACTGCTCTCGAGCAATCACTTGAAATGTACTTGGGCCACGAAGGTGCGTGGCCACCGGTGCAGTTGCACCGCCTGTACACTTGATAGTTACGCGACTGGACACTGAATGTCATTGCTGCCTGTTCTCCACCCTTCCCTCCGACAGTGAACAAGGACCTGCCATTTCCAGCAACTGCATCCTCAACCTTGGCCACTTGCACAGACTGCACGACCACGAGGCAAGCCCCCCCCCAACTCCCGCGACATCTCCCCCCCCCCCGTCCTTCAAGTACCTCGTGCGTTGTGTAAAAATATTGCCACCCGGGGAGACAAAGGCGGCCGGGCGTGGTGCTGGCCACCCACCCCCGTTCCGGCCTTCATAGGTGCTCGCTAACAGCACTTGCCCCAACAGTCGTGAGGCTAAACTGGGGAATCTTTGTCTTTTGTATACAGGTGTGTGAATATGTTGTGTAATGATAACCGTTTACATGTGTAGAGTAGTATGGAGACGTGACGTCATACGTGCGGTGAGGCGCGAGGACGTCATGTCACCTGTGGGTACTTAAGGGGGGCCCCGTGACGAAAGGGGGGTCGTTGTGGGAGCCCGGGATGGAGAGGAGTTGGAGGGATAGCGAGGGGTAAGGCTGGGAGTAGTCTGCACGAGCCAGCTGAGACACAAAGCCGGAGCTGGGCAATGAGCGCGCCTGGGGGGGAGGGGGGGTAACGTGCTGCAGAAACTGGGAATGCGAGTGTGTAAGCAAGCTATAAGAGCAATTAAGATTCTACCTGGTTAATAAAATCCTTCCAATGATTGCTCAATTTGAATCCATCCTCTCGGTTGAAGTTATGTCTGTGTTTGTATATCTGGATGGCTTCATGAACAAACCTTTGATAGTAGCCTGACGGTTTGCAGAGTACCTTAGTCTCGGAAAAAACAATATCATGAGAGCCCACAGCGTTGTAGCAGTGATCAGCAACGGCGGAAGAGCCAGTTCGTGCCCGAGGACCTGTGCTATGGGCACGGCACAGTTTAGGAATAATCCTCGCAACCAAATTTAGCAATAAGATGCAACAGGTTGTGAGGATTGAACGTAGGTTTTCACCGAGTGAGTTGAGCTGAAACAATAAATTGACGCGTTAAACGCGTGACAATTTGTTTTGGGCTGTCGGGTGGTGGGTGTCCTTGGCGACACAGATTTGGTCAGACCGTTAAGTGGCCTAACAAAAAAAATCTATTATGAATCACTGGCTGCGAACACTTATGTACAGTATACATTTTGGAAGAGATTGCTTGGATGGGTCGACCACCATGCACTGCAGATTGTCATAGGCTGCTGTTGTACCGTACGACTATGCATCACGCATTTGTAACCTCTTTGTGTTACACAGTGACCCCAACGTGTACGAATGTCTGAACAACATCATCCTGGCTTCACCGCTCACTAGTGGATACAGGCCTGGCAGAGCATGCAGAACTAAACCTGCAAGTGAGCTCACACGTGTCATGCACCTGCCTTCTGCACACCTTACCTCACAAACACTCGCTCACTAATCGCTCGCTCGCATATATCCGCACACCACAGACTTGGGTAATGAAACTGCCGGATGTTTTCATTAGTGGGAGTCATGTTTTGTATGAAGCTGACAGATTGCGTTTTTATGGTCGATACACCTTCAGTAATAACCTGGGCTGCCTGCTGGAATTGAACCGCGATCCCCTGCAACAGGGGGCGAACGCGTCACTGCTCGACCATGTGGCTTTACGAACCTCACATATGTCTCTGTAAGCATCACCATGTTTCTGTCCTCCCCCCTCCGCCCCCAAAGCTGGCAAGTGCAGTCACGGCGGGATAAACGATGCGTGGCAGAACCAGACTGCGACGGGCGGCATCAACAAGGAGACTCTGGAGCCGGAGCTCTCTCCGCACCACTACTATCATGACGAAGCGGGGCAGGTGGCCATGATCGCCACGCGAGACGTCCTCGTCAACTCTGGTGGGACGCAGAGCCAGCTCCATAATCGCACAACCTCACCACACAGCTCACCATGATCACAGCTCATCACATACACTTCGTCACGCTACATGCACGAGAGTGTGGGGTAGATGGCATTGGTGGCATCCCGAAACCTCCTCCTCAACTCTGATGAGACACAGAGAGGGCTCCTATGATCACTGTTACATTATTTTTATAGCTTTATTTTGGTGATATTCGAAAACGTAATGTTAAGCCATATTTGTTTGTTGAAGTACGGAGTTAGCCTGATAATTTTATCTAAATTGTCTTATGGTTGTTATTGTTCGACTTGCATCCCATTGCATCCCTACTGGTTTTTCCTGGATGTTTCTGTTGCGAAACATCACTTTAAGATGTTCTTTGTTCATGATTTGTTTGTTGCGGTTGCACCCGAGTCAAGAGCCTCATAGCTCACAGGGCTATACCTAATAAATGAAACTGAAATAAATGATGGTTAGAGCCAGCGTTAAGATTAAGGGTCAGGGTTTGATTTAGGGTTAGAGTCAGGATCAGAGTTAGAGTCAGGGTTAGGGTTAGAGTCAGGGTGAGAGTTAGAGTAAGGTTGAGAGTCAGAGTTAAGGTATCCCGGGTGAGGTTCGAGTCAGGGTAAGCAGAGGGAAGATCGAGTCAGGGTTCAAGTCATGGCCAGGATTAGAGCCAGGGTGAGAGAGTCAGGGTGTGAAGTATACGTGACTTTACCGAAAGAACCAAAGAGTAATTCCTGCAGTCACGAAAGCTCCAAATTAAGATGGGAGTCAGAGTTAAGGTAGGCGGGGTGAGGTTCGAGTCAGACTTGGGGTTGTTGTCAGGGGTGGACTTGGGATCAGGTCACGGTTTCCCTCGTGTGACGACCTCCTCTCATCACAGCGAGTAGCGTGCTGGAGGAGCTGGGTGAAAAGGTCTTCATGCAGCTGTTCAATCTGGAGCGGCACTCGCTCGTCTACGTGGTGGACGTCACGGGCAGCATGAGCAACGACATCGCTTTGGTGCGCGACAAGACCAAGGAGATGGTGCTGAAAGTGGCCAACAAAACGGAGGCCCCCGAGACATATGTGCTCGTCACCTTCAGTGACCCCGGTACGTGGCCCCCGGGGTTTCCTGGGGCTTCCTCTTCCCTTTTTCCACTGGCACATCCGAGCCGAGCCAACCCAGCTGTCCTAATGATACGGGTGTTTTTTCCGCTGGCCGTTTGCGGAGCTGAGCCGGAACCAAGCCGTGATACGCTGCTGGCCTCAAAGCTGGCGTCTGAATCTGACTCGGGGTCAAGCAGGGGCGGGGGCTAATGGCGCATCATCGCATCTGACGTCAGTCAGTACGCCGTGAGAACACAGCATACATAGCACCAGTGTCTGTGTTCTTTATATGCTTTTATTTAAAGTCTGCCACTTTTATAAACACCCAAAACCACATTCAACCTTTCCTCATTCACGCGGTGGAGAGAGCCAGAGCAGACTGTATGATGGGCAGGAGCTGATCACATGGATACTTATTTCGTTTAGCGTTTGGCATTTTTTTTTTGTTTGTTTGGTATTGACTGTTTCATGCGCCTTCACCGGGACCCCTATGTGCAAACAAGGTCATGCTTCGGGTTTGCTGGGGCTCCGTGTTGAGACCCTGCATTTCCCTCGTGTGTGTGAGTAGATGTTTACGAACCATTGATCACCAAGGACTGGACAGAGATGTACCAGGCACTGGACTTGCTGCAAGTTGGTGGTGGCGGAGACTGCCCTGAGATGGCGCTCACAGCCCTAGAGCTTGCGTTGCAGATCTCGCAGCCCGGGTAACTGTGACCTATCACTCTCCTTCGCTTTATCCCAGGCTCGGCGGCCCTGCTTGTCTTTGTCCACTTTGCCCTGCTTGTGGTACCCTCGTGCCTATAGGCGAATGCTCGCCATATCCTCCTTGGTCTTGTCTCTCTGTCTCATCTTGGTTCACCTCTCGGTTCCTTGCCTCGCACGTCCATCGGCAGAACGCTCCGACCCACATCTGTGGGACCTGTCGTCAGGAAGTGTCCCCCACCACTTACCGCACAAGTCAATAGTAATATCACGTAAGGATGGCAGTTCCATGGTTCCTTCGGTAATGTTAACGTTATTCTTGTCCATCGTAAAAGCATGAATTTGCTTAGAACAATCTCCTTTAACCTGTCATGGAATGATTATATTTTAATCAGGGTGATTAGACTTGTTTACTTATTTATCCAGGAGAGCCACACTTAGTTGTAGGACTCTTTTTCACCAGGATCCCGCGCACTTATTTATTTATTTCAGATGTTTTCAGCGAAGTAATGGCCGTTTATACAAGTGGGAGGAAACCGGAGTGCCAGGAAGAAACCGTTCAATCCCCATACAGATGGAAACAGGTGGCGATTAGTCCACTTGCTGTACTGCGTTCTGACATGCCAGGGTATGGCTCTTCCACGACGCCAACGAGAAGGGAGTTTCACAACATTTGTGCGGTGATCCACCAACCCTCGGAGCCTCCACCGTGCTGGATTACAGGCCACGTGCAACACAGCCACCACCGCCCGGCTAGAAAAGTTGAAACACGTTTTCTTGGTGGTTGGGGTATGACATGGTCATCTCGTGTAGGAGTAATGTGCGAGTGTAGCCCACTCACCCTTTCTTGTGAGTCCTCCAACCTTGAGCTGTACCAAAGCCGTAGCCATGGAGTCAACATTGGGGGGGACCAAATCTTCCAGGGGGTCTGGGGGTTCCCCCCAGAAAAAAAGTCTAAATTTTAAAACGAATTTCCTGCCATTTCCTGCCTAAAATATTTTAAAATTAACTAACACATAGGATGGACTTTTTTTTTTTTACAATAACGTCTAATAGTGTATTGTATTACATTGCTCTGTTTTTTTCTTTTTTTACCTTTTCTTGTTTCATTGTATGTAATGGCAGAGATTAGGGATTAATAAAGTACAACCATAACCACAATCATATAAACAGAAATCTATTTTATAGCAATATATTGGGGGACATTTTGATCATATTTGAAGATTGGGGGGGATGTGTCCCCCCCAATATATATTATAATTACGGCCTTGGGCTGTACACACAGAGCGGTCCTACGGCAGACTTTACAAGATGTTCTGGAGGCATCAAAGATGCTTGGTTTTCTTCTTTCTACCAAGACCTTTGTCTTTAACTCCAAACGATTATCACTGCTATATACAGCACACATTTAGTCGAAGTTGGAATCTTTCTGCCATGTCTGGGATGGAGCACCCAGTTCCTACCTCACTGCACTGGCTAGAATTTAGAGTAATGAAGAACTCACGAATGGACTCCAGTGACTCGCTCATCAGTGGTCAGTCACCTCTTCATCGCTCTTCTATTGCTAACATGGTTACTGTTCCCGTGAACTTCACCACTTAATTCCTCCACCCATGCTGAGGATTTGGTCTACCAGACTGTTTCCCTCTCATCCACACTGTGTCCAACCTCCACACTGCAGGTCACAACACACTCGCTCACCCACCCACTCAATCGTTCACTCACTCACCGACTCACTCGCCACTCTGCGGGTCACCTCATTTCTCTTCATGCTTCTGTAGTGCCTGAGATACGCGCCACACGCGGGAGTGGGCGTACACGCGCGCAGAGTACAGTGGGAGCAAACGAGGTCGAGGTTGTTATTGTTGCTAGGCGTGAGGAGAAGGCCAGAGACGGGTAGGGGGCGATTAAGGACACAGGGCGCTGATTGGCTGGGAGTTGTTATTGTCTAGATGTGATGCCACGCTGTCTGAGGAGAGTAACAGGTGGCAGGGAGCGATTAAGGACGGAGGGCGCTGATTGGCCGGGAAGTTGTCGTTGTCGCTAAGTGGCGCCGCATTGGCTGGGAAAACATGGCAGGTGCCAGCGGGGGCTAGGGGGCGACGGGCGTCGCGGGGGATGTCACCCACTGATTGGAGATTAATTGGCTTGGGGATAAAGAGAGGGGGTTTTGAAGCAGACGGGAGTTCGCGCCTGGGAGGGAAAGGATGTTGGAGCTGAAGCAGCGGAGCCAAAAGCATTGGAGAAGTATAGGGTAGCAGTGGAGAAGTATAAGGTAGCAGTGGAGAAGTATAAGGTAGCAATGGAGAAGCCAGCAGAAGCGGCTGGAGTGTGACGGCGAAGCCAGCAGAGAGCGGCTGGAGTGTGACGGCGAAGCCGATAAAGAGCGGTTGAACTGTGCCGTGGAGAGGAGAATCAACGGAGGAGAGACGTGGAGCGAGCGAGGCCGGAAGGAATGTTGATTGGTGTTAGCTGGAGGAATGTTGATCGGTGTTAGCGAAATAAAGTGAGAGAGAAAAGCAAGAAGCTGTCGTGTCAAGTCGAGCACTACACTTCTTGCCTCACACTGCTCCACTTGGGAATTTCTTCCCATCATCTTCCCCCCCCCCCTCCAAGCTCTTACAATAATTAAACTTGTAAAAATTCTAATAAACGTGTCAACTGGTGTCTTTGACAAATTTGATAGTACCATTTTGTTGCTGGCTGCTTGACGTTTTTGTCACCTTTGGGGTCACTGCGACCTTGTGACCTCGACTGTCATGCCTACAGGTCGGATATTTACCTGTTCACGGATGCGGGAGCAAAGGACGAGGAGGAGAAGAAGGATGCAGTGATGGCGCTGTTTGAGAGCACGGATTCACGGCTGCATGTGTTCAACACGGGGTCCTACTGTACACGCGCAACACAGGGAGAACTCTCTTCACGCGGTACCACGCACAGCTCCCTCACCCCTGACTTGCCTAGCCCTCGCCAAACTCACTACACTCGCCTTGTCTCTCAACAAGGTGACCTACACTCGGATACACTCACCGATACTTACCCACACTCACCAAACTTCTTACACTCGCCTTGCCTCAACGGGATTGCATACTGATCCTGCCCTCACTCGCCCTCTCTTTCCATTGCCCACTCTCCCCTTATATCACCTATGCATGTTCACCCTTACCTCTGCACCCTCTCCCATCTGCACCATCACCAACCCCTCCACCTCCCCAACTCCCCCCCAAACAGCCAGCGAGCCACGTCAGAACATATACGAGACCCTCACAGCGCTGTCGGGTGGCCAGTATATCCTGACGACCAAGGGCGAGCTGGCCGGCGTGCTGGGCAGCTTGGAGCTGAGCCTTAACGCGGCGCCCGTCTCCGTGCGTTACGTGGAGGTCACGACCCCGGACTCCGTGACCTTCCCCGTGGACTCGTCGCTGTCTGAAATCGCCGTGTCCGTGAGCGGCCCGGCCATCTTCACTGTGGAGCTGTTTCTTCCCTCAGGTACCGCCTCCATTGCACGGCAGCAATGACTGCGTTGTTAGTCACACACCTGGCTTTGCTTGTCCCCAAACCAGATTCAGATATCTTGCGAGGCCAGCGTGGTTCTGGCTCAGCAAACAGCCAGTGGAAAAACCACCTATACCATGAACACCCCCGCGCTGGCTCGGCCCAGATGTGCCAGTGGAAAAGGGGTATAACACGCACACTTCTTCTGTTATAGTACACAGCCACAGACAAAGGTCCCCCATGTAACCTACACAGGCTGCTAGGGCAAGTGCTGTTAGCGAGCATCTATGAAGACTGGCGCACGAAGGGGCGGTGTGGGCAGTGCCATGCCCGTGCTGACGTTTACTCACTGCACACCAGGTACTCGTTTACATTTCAGTTGACCTCGAGAGAGGCCCAGAACCAGTTCAGACGATCGCTAGCAACTGATGCCGGCCGTGCTCCCATCCCGTCGTCAGGTGATCTGGCCACCGACGTGGAGGAGCTTGTGTCCTCCAGCCAGAACGTCGTGCGCAGGGTGACCTCGGTGACCCCAGGCACCTGGACGGTCAAAGTCACGGGGTCGCCGGGGCCTTACCTGGTGAAGGTGACCGGGCGGAGCCTGGTCGACTTCACTGCTCAGCTGCTGCAGCGGACGAACGGGTTCATGCTGCCGATTCCAGGGCGCCCCGTCACGGGTACGGCGCGCGGGGTGACGGTGGTCGGTCACGTGGGGTGTGCGTGGATGTATGTGGTGGTAGTGCATGTGGCATGTGTGATGATTCATGTCAATGTCCAGTTCTGCTGGCCACAACCAGAGAGCTTGAGCAGAGAGAGTTTGTGTAGTTTTGCTGTTCTTCCTCCGTTGAAGGAGCACAGATTGCAGTAGATTTACTAAAGGGTCCATAGTTTGGGTTGCATGGCCACAGTCATACTACTTTGCCTTGTCGTTAATGTGTTCTACATATCTCTATGGGTCTCTGTGTATCTCTATGGGTCTCTGGGTTTCCTTGGCTTACATGGCCACAATCGCACTACTGTGGCTTGTGTCTTTAATTTTCCATTTATGAAGGAGGTGTTCACACCGGGCTGGTGATGTTTTGATGCGGTTGATGGTACCACAGTGTCCTTGCAAGGTTTTAAGAGTGATTGATAACATGGTGAGTGTATGATGTGTGGTGTAACGTGAGTGCGATGCAGTGTAATGTGTTGTGCCGTGGTGTGACGCAGTGTTATTGTGTTGTGGCGTGAAGTGGTGTGACATGGTGTAACGTGGTGTGATGCTGTGTGGCGAGACAGGTGAGCCGTATCAGCTGTGGGTGAAGCCGATGGGCAGCGTGGCTGGTTACTCCATGTCCAGTGTCCGTCTGCTCTCCGGCATGGGCAACCTCGAGTACCTGGTCTCACCCACCGAATCCGAGTTCGGGGTCCCCTTGCAATTCATTGACTCCATGGTGAGCATTGGGGTCAGGGAGAGGACACGGGGATCAGGGGTGATCCGAGGGGATCGGGTGGGCGGGGGGTGGATCAGAGTAGAGCTGTGATATCTGATTGTCTACTTTATGATTCATAAGCAATTGCTTTTCCAGTTAGGCACGTAATGACCTGTAAAATATGTGCTCTAAGATCTTCTACTACCCGATCCGCAAACTATACATTTTTCAGCTCGCTCACCAGTGAGTTGGTGAACAACTCTGTATCCCCATCCAATTCAGGAAGTAATTCCGATTTTCAAGGAGTTTAGACTGACCTTCTGGATCTGGTCCCGAAGATGCTCGACGCAGTTGCAAGGGAAGAGAAGCGTCGCGTCTCTAATTGGCTGTGAGAATTGCTGTTGAACTCACTGGTTACACAATGTCATGGCTTACAGGGGGGGTGGTCTTCATCCAACAGCGGCTAGATTATGGCTGATGCTGCTGATTCTGGTTTGCAGGCGTTCATGGTGGAGGTGTGCGGCTCATCTCCGGAGGGCCTCCAGTTCTGCCGCATGCACACGCAGCTCACGACCGTGCAAAGCTTCCGTCTCGCCCAGCTCAACTTCGAGGAAGGTGGGGCAGAGGATCAGAATTGTCCACCTCTCATCGTAGTCACTTGTAATCCACCCTCAGTCACCTTCGTAGTCACTCACCTAGTCGTTCACTTGTATAGTAATTCATTCATATAGTAACCATCGCAGTCACTTACTTATAGTCACTCATAGTCTACCCTCGTTGGCCAAAATCAGTCACTCACCTCTTCCACACTCCTTGCCCACCAACAAAGTCATTCACTCAGTCCACCTTCAGAGTCCACCATCGTACTAATTCTCATAGTCACTCACAGTGCATCACACACAGTCGCACCACGTACGTCATGATGGTGAACGCCATAGGGGGAAAACCTTCATCCAGCAGTGGATAGATTCTGACCCACGCACATCCGTTGACACTGGACGCCATGTCTCCTGTGTCTCCCGTGTCGCCCACGTCTCCCACGATGCCCGGGTTTCCCGTGACGCCCGTGATACCCGTGCCACCCACATCTCCCGAATCTCCCACGTCTTCCGTGTCGCCCACGTCTCCCGTGACGCTCGTGTCTCGCCTGTCTCCCGTGTCGCCCACGTCTCTAGCCACGCTGCAGCCCGGTGTGGAGGTGTCCCTCTCTGTGGTCCTGGAGAACCGCGGCGTTGCGGCGTCATCCTTCTCAGTGTCAGCGCGTGACGAGCTGGGCTGGGCGAGTGCCGTGAGCCCCAGCAGCGCCGTGCTGGCACCGGGGGAGACCGCCAAACTCAACGTGACCGTGGCGGCGCCGCAGAGCATCACCGAGTTCACCAGCAGGTGAGCGGGCGAACATCGCGGGTGCAATGGCATCAGAGACCATCGCCACGTACACAACATCATCACTGACGTCACGAAGCACAATGACATCCCTGAGATCATTAGACACACGATTACATCACCACATCGACATCACAAATCCTCGAAAGATCTGGACAAAGTCCCATCGGTGAGCACCTCCGGCAGGCAAGGCTGCGTTGGCTGGACCATGTAGCCCGCATGCCCAATCACCGCATGCCCAAACAGCTTTTGTTCGGCCGAATCGAGGAGGCTAAACAGGCGCGGCACGGGCTAGAGAAAAGATGGAGTGACGTGGTACAGGAGGATGTGGAGCTGAGTGGACTTGCCGATGACTGGTACCAGCGGTGTCAAGATCGGCCTCTGTGGAGGAGGCTCGTGAAGGACGCTACTGGGCAGTTGGAGGCAGTCTCCCTCCAACAACAACAGAGGGTGGAGGAGCGACGCTCACAACAACGAGCGGAGCGCCGGGTGGCTAAAGCACAGCAAGTTGGCACAGTAGTGGGCACAGGTGATGCATCTGCCAGTCATCTCGGTCATCTCAGCCATCTCAGTCAGTCGACCCGTGGGACCTGGGTCTGCCCCGTTACCTCCTGCCAGCGGGCGTTCGACATTTTAAGTGGCCTCAAGGTGCACATGGCCTGGCACAAGCGTCGTGGTGACGTCACCGCCACTTAGTGGCGAATGGCGGTTGTTGTTGTTGTTAGAAGTGGAGCGGTTCGTGCACAGCGCTACGAACCCGGCGTCCCGAGTTTGATTGCCGCTCGTGGCCAACACCAGTGATAGCGATTATCTGAACCAGTCCTGGGCTTCTCCTAGGTCGACTTACCTGAGCATGTGTGTGCCTGCCTGTGTGTATGTTCCTACATATGCGTGTGCTTGCCTGTGTGCACGTACCTACTTGTGCGTGTGTTAATATATATGCCTGTACCTACCTGTGCGTGTGTACCTACCTGTGCGTGTGTGTGTGCCTGCCTGTGCGTGCTTGCAGCATGCTGCGCGTCACTGCCGAGAGTGTGGAATCTCCGGACTCCTCCTACACCCTCAGCTTCCCCCTGAGCGTCTTCATCGCGCCAGTGGAGGTGAGGAACGAAGACATCGCTCACCGGAGCACGACGACACTCGCTACATTGCTCACGACTTACATCCCTCACTCCAACACTCAGTCATTCCTCTATCCCTTACTCACATCACTCACTGCCAGTACTACAATACTGAATAACCATTTGCGCCTTTGAGGAAAGCATAATACAATTAATAAGCAGAAAATGAACATCCTTTACAAATCTGTCTGTCCACATAGAAAATATAAAATTTTACACATCCTATCAGCCGCACTGACTTCTGGTAGCACATAAATTGAGCAGCATTGGTTCAGCATATTCGGTGTCAATGTAGAGAGACGCATGTATGAAGAAGAATTATTGTCTTATCTACTCCCTCCCTCCCGCCTCTCCCCAACCGCATCCCCACTCCTCATGCGCCCTCACCTCCCTCACCTCACCACCAAATTGCCCGTCATTTTATACGTGTCAAAACATGTCACTCGCGTCTAACTTGCACATGGTTAACCGGCAACTCCAATATAAATGATACCACCTCCCGTAATTTGTGATTGGAACATATTTTTCTCCTCGTCGTCACCCAGATCCCGGACACGTCCCCCCCTGCGGTGCGAGAGCTGGCGCGGGATGTATCGGCGTGCACGGCGGAGGTGCAGCACGGGGGTGAGGCACTGTGCTCGGGGAGCAGCTGGAGCGTGGACGTCGAAGCCATCGACGCCGAGACGGAGGAACCCCTCACAGTGAACATCGCTCTTGGGGACAGAAAGGCGCTGCTAACCGTGGGCAGCATCGACGGAGTCTACAAGATTAATTATAGGTGTGGGGAGGGACACACACGGGGAGAAGGTGGGGGGCGGCGGGGGTTGATGGAGAGGAATGAGGGGGGAGATAGCAGGGCAGGGTAAACGGGGAAGGTGGGAGACAGAGGACACTAGTAGATGGGGGGACAATAAGATGTGCGGGGAAATAGGAAGATAAGGGAATACAGAGACAGTTGGAGACTGGGCACGCGAGGGGACGGGATAGTGTGGATGAGACGAAACAGTCATGTCTCGGAAACCAATTCCTCAGTATTGGTAAAGGAATCAATGAGTGTGCGTGTGAGTGATTGGATGGTGTTTTGAGCAATTAGGTGAGTGTGGGTGAGTAGATGAGTCAGTGAGTTGTTCTGGTGGAGGAATCGACGAGTAAAGTCGACGGTAACCAAGGTGGTAACGACATAAGTGTGATAAGGGTACCCACTTACCCCTTACACCTCACTCCCTACCCCTCACCCTGTGCCCGCTCACCTTGTCTCTCCCCTGGGCCCCGCAGGTCCCCGTGCTGCAGCCCATGGGTGACGCTGGACGTGAGTGATTTCACGGGGAACCTGGGGCGCTACTCTCTCGACTTCGCCGAGCCGATGCCGACACAGGACACCACAACGGAAGGCGGCAGGACGGTAAGCATGCACCCACACCACTACGTGTGGTCTGCTCTCTGATAGCTCGAGTCATCGCTTGCTGCACCGAGTAATCGCACGAGCATGTAGGTGCATGAAGACCCCTTCTGCCTCTTTACGCTTTAAATAGAGGATCTGCCTGGTCAACATCAAATCTTACGGAGGTGGCTGGGTGGCTCAGGAGTTTGAGTATTGACCAGAACCGCCAAGCATCTGGGTTATAGCCCTTGGTCTGGGTGTCTTTTAGTTGGTTTATATTGGCTTTGTGAGAGATACATAGGACTGCTGACAGCCTGGGTGTGAATCGCGGTTTCAGCCACCAGTGACTAAATTGGGTTCTCAAGTGTAGCGGGTTGCTAATCTCTGGCTGGTTTTACATAGACTCATGATTGCATAGAGACTAAAATTTTGCATAAAGATTCAAAGACCCGTGTAGACTAATAAGTGATTAAAGCAAGTTATCAAGTGTAGCGAGTAGATGGGCTTTTCCTCGTCACCAATTACTTAAATAGAGACTCAGCAGACTTACGTAGAGACCAATAGACTCACAGGAGACCCATAGATTCCCACAGAGATGTATAGATGCATACAGAGACTCAGTCTCACACAGACAAAAGTGGTGAATAATCGAGGTTGTCAAGTATAGCGGGTTGATTGTCTCAGCCCGGTTATAAATTACAAATACAGTATAGAGACTCATAAACTTACACAGAGGCCCATAGACTCACAAGAGACCCATGGCTACACACAGAGGCCCATAAACTCACAAGAGACCCATACACTCACACAGACTGAATAGTGATTAACCCGGGTTCTCAAGTGGAGTGAGTTGATGGTCTCAGTCCGGTCACCACTGGCTAACCACGTGTACCCGGCAGGTGATGGTGATCGCCTTGTCGGTGGTGAGCGTGGTGCTGGTCGTCATACTCATCGCGCTGGGAGTGGTCATCGGACGATACTGCTGCCGCTCCAAGCGGGCGGTGCAGCAGGATGCTACGCCCAGCATCATCACCAACCCCTGGGCCAAGCCCATGCAGCGCCCTGATATGAAATAGCAACATCCAGCACAATCTACACACACTGCAATCTACACCCAGCACACTCAGCCTACATCGAGCAAACCCCCCCCTTTCCTGGCGAGTTATTTTGCTCCTGTCTCCCATGCTCTGAAATCGCCGTGATTTTGAATAAAGGATTTGAGAACTTGTGCTGCGGTGGTGTGGTGGTGTGGTGGATGGCTGTTGTTGCTATGCACCTCATACAAACATACCAATCTCACACACTCCTATCTTGTACTCCCACGGATGCATACCCCTATCACCTACGATTAGCATGGTTGGCTACATATAGTGCGAAATAAGTTCAACATAATGTACATAAATATCACACTTCCATCACACACACAGCTCCTGTGTTCGGAAGCCACTGGAGCTATGAAAACGAAATTATTAAGAACTGCTTTTTGTGTTGTTTGTTGTCCTTTCACCGCACATCCGATTAGCACGGTTTGCTACGTATGGTATAACGACTAACTGTATAGTAGTATCTGCTGACTTGAGCAGCTACTCACCGTAGTAGTATGTACTGACTGTATAGTAGTATATACTGACTGTAGCAGTATTGACTGACTGTAGTGGTAAATACTGACTGTTTTAGTATCTAGTAACTCTATATAGCATGATCTATCAACTCGATAGCAGTATTTACGATCACTACAGCAGTGCATACCGACTGAGGTGGTACCTGCTATGATTACAGCAGTGCATATTGTGGTGGTACCTGCTATGATTACAGCAGTGCATATTGTGGTGGTACCTGCTATGATAGCAGTACATACTGTGGTGGTACCTGCTATGATGACAGCAGTGCATACTGACTGTACTCACCACCACTCACCACTCACTGTAAAAGGTAAATTTGTAACGCTGGGTATATCGAGTTTATAGCACAAAGGCTTCGCCTGACAAGTGTGGGGTGTCGAGGCCTAGTAAAGTGCAGAGCCTCCGGCCTCGCCTAGATTGCCCACCTGGCCGAGGCTGGGTGCTGGGCCGCTACCCCCCCCCCCCCGCGCTAGAATAATACTGTCTAATCGCTAACATTTTATTATCTACCGACCCTATAATAGTAATTGCACACATTGGGGTGGGGGAGGAGTTAAGAGGACGTGAAACTTTGATGAATTTACCTCAGCGTCGCGTGTTAATACGTGTGCATATTTTTTACGGAAATGAGCAATGGCGTCCGCCCTGCAGCGATAGCGTAGTGCCCGTTACCAGGGGCAACCGCCCGTTGCCAGGGGCAACCGCCCGTTGAATTATATAGGTAAGATATCCCGTTCAGACTTAACAGACTTTAGGAAGAAGTTATGTTCGCGAGCACATATGAAATCCGGCATGGCACACGAGGGGGAGTGTGGCCAGCACCATGCCCAGCTGCCTTTGTATCCCAAGTAGCAATGTTTACACACCACCCCAGGTACTATTTTGTCGTCATTGGTGTTGACCATGAGCGGGAATCGAACCTGGATCACCTGGTTCGTAGAGCAGCACGCTAACTGCTGCAATACCACTCCCTACCAATACCCGCCATTCGCCACTAAGTGATGGTAACGTCACCACGGCCCCTGTCCTAGGCCAAATGCACTTTGAGGCCACGTGAAGTGTAGAAGGCTTACTGACAGGATGTCTCGTGACAGACCCAGGTGCCATGGATTGACTGAGATGACTGGTAGATGCACCAGCTATACCCCCTACTATGCAAACTTGCAACATTTTAGCTGCTCATTGTGAGTGTTGCTCCTTTGCCCTCAGTTGTTGGAAGGCGACTGCCTCCAACTGCCCAACAGCATCCTTCACAAGCCTCCTCCATCGAGGCCGATCTTGACACCGCTGGTACCAGTCGTTGGCAAGCCCACTCAGCTCCACATCCTCCTGTACCACATCAGTCAATCTCTTCTCCAGCCCATGTCGTACCCGTTTAGCCCGCTCTATGTGGCCAAACAGCTGCTTGGGCATGCGGTAGATAGGCATGCGGTGGCCGGGCATGCGGGCTACATTACCCAGCCAACGCAGATCTTTCAAGGATTTGTGAACGCCTCACAATCCAGCCTGGTTAAACCCAGGATGGATCGTCGGCAGGCCAGCCTCAATGTTTCTAACTGGCGCAGATGTTCCATGAGAGGGGTCCACGTTTCACAAGCATATATAAGGGAGGGCATGACTGGCAGAGAAGACTCAAAGCTTCATGCGAAGCAACAGACCAGATAGCTTCCACACACCATTACGCAGCTGATGAAAATATGCCGCCCGACTGATTCGGCATGAGACCTCTGCTGTCAAACTGGAGTTGGTCATAAGCACACTGCTCAGGTATGGAAAAATCTCCACTCCACAACTGCTCCATCACCAATGGGGAGCTGAGGGGGTGGAGTGTTTGGTGGCATAAAATACTTAGCGGCACACTCCAGGTTCAGAAACAGTGCCTCAAACTCCTCCTCTGAGTGAGCAGCAATCACCAGATCATCACCATACATAACATGGTTGACCAATAGGGAGCCATCCCCCGTCCGCACCCGGGCATCGATCAGCCTCCCATTGTATCTGTTGTACCAGATGAGAATTCCTCCGATACAGCCACGGAACGCTTCTCAAACTACGTGGTCAAAGATGATGTTATGTAATGTGGGAGCCAGAAGACATCCCTGTCGCACCCCAAAGTGAACAAGGAATGGCTCTGACTCCTGGCCACGTAGCTTTATCCGGGCCTGCACACCATCATGAAGGCCCTTAATGATTGTGAGCAGAGAGTTAGGAACTCTGAAAGTAAGAATAACTACCCACAGTGCTGGCCTGTTGATGGTATCATAGGCGTTGACTAGGTCAATAATGCAGAGATGTAGGTCTTCCTGTAATTCCCTACACCTCTGCTGTAGAAGACGGACAGAGAATATGGCATCCGTGCAGGACCGGTCTGAAACCTTATTGGGGCTCCGCAAGCCTCTCAGTGTGCCTGGCAAGGCGATGTTGAATAATCCTTGCCAGAACCTTTCCCGGTACACTGAGAAGAGAGATGCCCCTATAGTTGTTACAATCTGTGCAGTCTCCCCTGAAAGACGGGGACCACCACGGCGGGTGCCGCAGGATTGGAAAGTTATTCTTCCAATCCTGCGGAACCCGTCCTGTAGTCCAGACAGTTGTGATGATGTCATGTAGGGCAGTCTTCATACAGATGCCACTCTCCCTTAGCATGTCACTTGGGAGATCGCCCGGCGCTTGTCCTGGTCTCAGGCTTAGGATCGCCTCTCGCACTTCCTCCACAGATTGCACCTCAGCTAACCATTCAGCTAACCATGTCAATATTTGAGGCATGGCAGCCATAGCAGGGTCGTCGCCACCTTGCCCCACAATGTTGTCGGGGCAGAGGGAATTCCCCTCCTCCAAGATCTCACAAAAAATACTCTGTAAACCTGCAGACCTGTTCCTGGGGGTCGGAGATCGGATTACCGTTTTTTCCCGTGATTTGTGATTGCGGGCTACTGAGGCAGATTCCATCTCCTTAGCAACCTGCGCCCACCACTCATTCTTGCAACGCCACACGGCTCTCTGAATCTTCAAGCGAAGGCTGCGGTAAGCCTCCTCATTCTCCGGGAGTGGGCCTGTCGTTTTCTCTCAACCATCCGGAACACCTCCTCCTTCAGCCAGGGTCTCCGGGGAGGTCTGAACCGCGTACCCAATGCAGCCGTTGCAGCTGCACGAGCCGCAGTCCTGAACCTCACCCGTTTCCCCTCAGCATCGGAACGAGAGGGGGAAAGGGGAGATGCAATCCCCAGCTGCAGTACACACGCACGTAGACATACACACAGATAATCGCTGCTGCCACTGGTATTGGTGGTGGTGGCCATGGACGGGGGTATCGCCTCTGTCATTCTTAAAGGCGCATTGGGACGGAGGATTGCGCCAATACATCACTGCCCTGCAGGGCAACGTCATTTGGGCGGTACACGAGCGCTTGTTGCACCTAGGTGTACATAAAACGCTGGCCACACTCAAATTGGACTTCTTCTGGCCTGGCATGGCTGAGGATGTCACTAATTTGTTGAAATGGTATGTGCAGTGTGCGCAGCGGAAGCCACCGGTGAAACCCTGTTGTCCACCATTACAATCGATTAAGGTTTCCCGCGTGAACGAATTAGTTGCGCTCAACATCCTTGGTCCATTTCCCACTACCCCTCGTGGGAATAAGTAATTGCTGGTGGGAGTCGAGTATTCTTCACGATGGCCTGTGGCCTAGCCGCTCCCCAACCAGTCAGCGGCGACGATTACTGAAGCATTCCTCAATGGCTATGTAATGGACAAGGGCGCTCCCGAACGTCTTCTGACTGATCAGGGCAAAAATGTATCCTCAAAGATGCTGCAGGTGTGCGATTTGTTGGGAACAAAGGTATGCACGTCACCGTACCACCCGCAGACGGATGGCATGGTTGAGCACCTACACAGGACTCTGACGTCCATGTTGAGCCACCAGGTCAGCGAGTCCCAACTCGACTGGGATTTACAGATTCCCGGAGTCCTATCTGCATATAGGATGGCCCCTCACGCATCCACCGGCTACTCACCGTGTTTTTTTAATGTACGGGAGAGAACACGGGCCCCCGATTGATGCAGGCCGCGCCCAACAAAGCTAAATCCAAAATGTATGACTCTGTGCGTTTCACCCTTCAGAAGCCTCTAGGGTTAATTCTGATTTGCGCCAATTGGCCAATGAGCGGCTGAAGGGTTCACGTGTTTCTACACATGAGTGGGCGCCTGTGGACAGAGCCTGATTGCACTGTCCAATCGTACCGGTGGGTACGTAACCAAAATTGTTCAAACCTTTGAGAGGACCGGTTGATGTGATTCGGGTCGTTCGGCCACAATGTGTCCAGATCCGCTTGAGGCGGCGGAGTTGGTATGTGCATCCCTCGTGCCTCAAGCCTTTTATTGCGCCGCGCGAGTTCGTTCCATCTCCACACTGCAGGCGCCGTCTCCACTGGATTCAGGAGAGGAGAACCCGTCGACCCGGCCTACTGCTCTTCATGAGGAGCCGGGCTCGACGGGACAATTGCATATTCCCCCCGGGACCTCCAGGGAGAGCGAGTCCACCTTCCCTGGAGGCCCAGCCACGAGAACTCGTTCTAAAACTCTTCGGGTTTCGTGATCCCCACGCACA